CACAGGCGATCCTCCGTTTTGAGACCTAAATGTCTACCGTACTCTATCATCAAATTGTGGTTTGAGCAACGAAATCTACTTAAGAAGATTCGAAACTGTTTTACACTAACACTATCGATATAGAACTCAAAAGCTACACCTTTGAGCCTACGATACAAATCCAATTTCGAAACAAGTGTAATACGAGATGACCACAACTGGTTATCTATATCAATGCATCTTTGCTTAAATGATGATACAGTACAACCAGAATTATTGAGAATTTAAAGATTGTATTTTTTTTTTCACTCATTACTCACGTATTAAATGTGAATATTAGCAGAACATAACTCCAGATTCAAAGACAGGTGAACAGTTAGTATTTTGTCAGGTCACCATGGGCAGCAATGCAGGCTTCAATGCGTCGGGGCATACTACTGATCAAAGAAGTTAGAAAGTCGTGGTCCATGCTGTCCCAATATCGGACCACCTCTTCTTTCATTTCAGCAATATTTGTCAGATTTTTCTTATTGACACTTTCCTTCATAAGTCCCCAAACATTTTCTATTGGATTTTGGTCAGGGCTATAGCTTGGCCAATCTAATAATGTCACATTTTGGGTCCGAAACCAGGCCTGTGAATGCTTTGAACGATGTTTTGGGTCGTTGCCCTGCTGGAAAATCCAAAAATGTCCATAGAACACGTGAGCAGATGGAAGTAAATGTCCCTCGAGAATATCTGTGTACCGCTCACTGTTCACATTCCCTTCAAATACACAGAGAGGCGTTGCCCCTAACACAGATATACCACCCAACACGTTAAATTTCGGACTGTACTTTGGGCGATGATACAAAGGTTTTTCAGTTTGTTTGGTCCAGAATGTCAGTGTATTAGGAAACAGCCACACAGAACTTTCATCTGAGAAAATCACATTGTCCCAGTTAAAATTTCCATGCAGTAAGCACCAGTTCAACCTTCGCTCCTTTTGTTCAGGTTTCATGATCGGTGATGGAATTCCTCGACTTTTCTGCCAACCCATTGCATGCAGCTCAGTTCTAATTGTCTCCTTTTTACAGACAGCCACAGTTCCTCTATCAATCATATCCAGCCTTAAGTTTTCTAAACTCCTTCGTTTGTTTTTAGAAACAAGAATACCAAGCCGCCTCCTGTCACCGATAGTCAATTTTCTGGGCCTACCTGCGCCTCCCTGGTGCTCAGTGCCATATCCATTTGCAATATTTTTCAAAACACGATAAACAGTGGACAAAGGGATGCCTGTTCTACTTGAAATCACTTTAGCTGATCTGATGTCCTTGTTATAATACTCTAAAATCAACTTCCTCTCCTCTAAAATATCCATACTGAGGATCACTGAAAATGTCGTCTTCTAGCAAGTAAACAAAGGGGAATGACTCTTCACAAACTAATGAAAAAGGATGAACGGAGTTGTCTCTCTTGAATGAAGCCAAGCACTTGATAGCTGGTCAAGGCTGTTTATACTAGAAATCCAATTAAACGCATTCCTAAAATTCTCAATAATTTCTGGTCATACCATATATAAGTAAAGATATTTCCAACACTTTGACTGGCCCACACATTGCCAAAACCATTACTGTACAAAAGAGATTTCACTTTAAAAGCCCAACAATCTATACCTTTTTCAGCAAGACAATACTGATACTCATATACCTTATTTAGGATTACATTCTCAACTTGAGACAGGAGGCGAACCCAATATTTAAAGGTCACATGCAACCAAAAAATCAAACATAATTAAAACACAATTATCACTTCTTCATGACATATAATATGCATTGCTGATTATGAAACAACAAATAAACAAAATTATAAGCGTATAATCGCAAATCAAAATTTTGTACTTGGGTTTACCTCCCTCGAAACGAAGCAGCCGGGATACCGAACCCAGTCAGAGCGGGTGGGTGTGCACTCAAGTGTAACGGCTGGTTCATTAGCAGATGCCGCCTTCACGGCTCATTATGTGTGTATATATATAGATGTTGGGTTTTGTAAATACATGCTTATTTTTTGTGTATAACATTTTGCAATCAAGAGACATCATAACATGTCATGTGTTCAAGTATCACACCTGCCTGTCTGTGTAATAACATAATGTGACAGAGACCGAACTCGGGCCATAAATCAATGCGTTTTGTTTATGGTGTATAGCCTGATTGGTGTTAAGTTCAAATTGCATGTGGTCAGTGATCGCAGTTGTGTATTGAATATTGTCATTAGCAGACAGGCAGGCAGACACACAGGTGTCAATAAAACAAGACATTGAGTTTTGTCTGTGACAGCGACATATCTATATCACAGTTAGAAATTGTGTCAACGCTAAATAATTACATTGCTTTTAAGTATCGAACTGAGAAAGTGACTCGGTAAGAAGAACGTGTGGTGAAATAGACAAATGAAATTATATAAACAGTTTATTTACTGTCATAACATATAAAAAGCTCTCGCCTGTGAGATATCAACAAAACATTATGAAAATAGCTCACACCAAAGCCTTCACCGAGTATTCACCAGACAGCCCGCTTCCAAGTTGCGCGAACCTATTTCACTGCGCACGTGCTATGAGCGCAGCCCAACTGTTGAAACCCGTATTCCCCAGAAAAGTCTGGGGAAAATTAGTGAAACGTTTGAACTCCGATTTCGCGCGTTTTTTTTCATCGCGTTATTTTTCAACTTTATAAGTTGAATTTGCATTTTTGACGCTTTGTTTCGTTAAGTCCATACCGAAAGGTATCAGAATCTGCAAAGTTGTGTCTTACGTTGCATGTGACCTTTAACAATCTTAATGTACTGGTTTCCCTTTAATAAATAACGATCAATTGTAGTCTAGTGGATAAAGCGTTCCGTGTGCAGCCCATTGTCTGGTTTATCCCGCTGTGATGTTGCTGGAATATTGCTAAAAGCGGCGTAAAACTAACCTCACTCACTCATACTTTAACAGGAACCTGACTGTCGTAGCATGAATATCGTTTTGTGAAACGGGCGTTAACACATTGATAAATCATTACAATCACGAAATTGTTTCATAACTTTGCAATGCCTTGAATCAAAGCGACTGAAACATGTGAAAAATGGCAAAACCTACAACGTCAAGGTGGTTACTGCGTCAACCTGTCCACGACTACGGTGACAAACTCAAACAACTAAACACAATTGCAAACAACCGAGGTGACCTGCGCAGAGAACCGGATGTACTAAATCAAACTGCATTAAATCATTATCCCAAACAAACTCAAGTGAAGGAGATGAAAGCTTTGTTAACCGACAGTCTGTCTCTGCAACCATTTAAAGTGCAGAGTTACAACATCTAAAACATGAATATTTATTATTATTTTTAATTTATTTATATTTCTAAATGACTCACTGCAAAACCGGTCTGATTAACCTGAACCTAACATTATCCAAGGAATCTCGTACAACACGTCGCTGACAAATCCGCTTCACTCAATGTTTTATAAATATATCAGAATGATTCAGCTAGTAACGCATACCATTGATTGCAAGGAAAATAATCTAGATCGATATTGGCTCGCATGAACATGACGACGTACTGGACAGTGTCTCTTCAAGTAAACGAGTGTTGTGTTTCGCCGCTTTTAGCAATATCCCAGCATATCACGGCGGAGGACATCAGAAATGTGCTTAACACGTTGAACCATGTGTAGCGTTCGAAATTAACGTCGGTCCTTAGGCCCGAGACCGACTGAAATCCACTCGGACCCACAGCTTTTGTTTTCTGCAGGTCCTTATGGCCGACAGCTTTTTCATCCTCAATTACTAAGAGTATTATTTTTCAGAAATATCATTCAGTAACTTCTAATGTTTATCTCGATCAGCAACTGCTGTCTGTAAGTTAAACGACTACCATTTTCGAGGAAGCAATTTAGATCACTGAGATATGATCGTTTAACCTCGAACAAGCTATCCTTTAAACCTTTAACTCAGTTTGTGACTTGTCACAATTTTTGTTTGTTGGGAATTACTTATAATGTAGCTAAAATATTGGGCCTACACATTCTGATCAGTACCTTGTTATGGTTCTGTGTCATTAGGGCCTGCAGCTCTTCAAGGTGAAGGGCAAACACTGACCATGTGAGAAATCAAGCCAGGCTCTTCGGGGGGACGAGCGAACTGGGCTACCCTATCGACCCGTGTCTCTTAAAGACACCAGCATGCATTGTTTAAACGGTTCAGTTGATTCAGCTTCAGCCTTCAGCCACCCTTGCTGAACAGGAACGGGTATTTGGGCTTGGATGAACAAGAACGGGTATTAGGACTCGACTGTTTCAATCCGGGACAGTGGGGTACAATGTGTGTGTGTGTGTGTGTGTGTGTGCGTGCGTGCGTGTGTGTGTCCCGTAGTGATATTGCCGGAATATTGCTAAAAGTAGCGTAAAACCGTACTCACTGTCGTTAACGAATAGTACTGAGCCTAAGTTTACTTAGACTGGGTTTTTGTGATCAGAAATCTAAATAACCGTAGTATAATGTTGGAGATTCAACGTTGAGTATATGAGTGCTGTCATGTATAACCTTAATTTGTTTGTTTGGAATATTTTGTTGTAATAGTTATACTATATGACGGATGTAAGTCGTCGTGTGTCCCACACAACACAACAACCCCCTCCCCCCTTCTCCAACTACCACCACCACAATGTAGCCCGTGTCTTCTTCACTTCACGTCTGCTAGTGCGTGCACAGGCTCACGCCATACCCAAGATAACGCTATCCGGTATTATACCTCGGCCTTAGTAACAACCGCTTCATTTCTCGGGTGTGTTTTCGTTAAATAACACGCCATACACATCAAACACCTTGTCCTACTTTCCCCTAAACTATTTTAAGAATCAATAATATTCCTGATCAGGGCCAGTGATAAAAACAGAGCAGAAGGTACATGTATATATATATATCAATGTTTACTTATACGGACAGGCTTGCGAGTGTCGTCATTTCCTATTCATGCGTGTTTTTTCACATTACCAGAAGCTAGCCCTTCGCCTGGATTATTTAAGCGAGGTTAGATCTCACACATCCACTGTATGTGCTGGCGGGGAGATCGGGAATGGAAATGGCTCGTTTAGATTTGACCGAATACGACATTTCCATGAAGACTGGGTTCGTTCTGGAGGAGCCACTGGTAAGTTGTGTAGACTTGTTACTATGATGGCAGTTACTATGATTGTTATGAATATGTGCTTATATCCTATCGTGTCATAACGTCTCGTTCAAACGTCGTTAATTCAAACTGCCAGTTTGCGATATCGATATGACAATTTCACCCCTTGTGTAACATGTCTTTCTTTAACATAAAGTACAGTCATTTCAAATCAAAACTCTTCTCAGAAAGGATTATCAACAATACTTTTAAGCATAGAAGTGTTAAACACACTTGAAGATATAATCCCATAATTATATCCACCGTCTATTATTAAAGTTACATCATTATAATAAAGATAAAAATAATAATTTTATTGTGTTAATGTCTGAAATCCACATGTTTCAAATCGAATTGACCCGAATTTTTCATATTTCATCATTGAAACTTGCATCAGAAACTGATGAAACGATTAAAGGGATTTCACGAGATTCAAGGTCATTCAAAAACTAATGTATAGACTGGTTTTGTGATGCATATCTATTCATGCTATCTACATTGAAGAATGCGCCTTGATAAGAATAATGATTAGTAATGTAAATGAAATTAAATTAAACGGATACAGATATTGTTCCATTAAAATATATTAATTAATTATTTTTCCATTGTTTTTATGTTTAAAAATAATGGTATACCTGAATTTCGATTATTCCTGAGAGAATAGATAAAGTTTTTAATGTAGCTATAGCGTTTGTGATATACCGGGGAGTAACGGTGTTCCTAATTTGTTGAATGCGAGGTGAAAGCCGCCCAGCTCTGATGCACTGCATGTGCACAGACAATTCACATGAAGCGATCCCTTTTCACTAAGCAGTACCGCTTTCAGGACAACAGTACCCGTGATGATCCGGGTTAGAATTGGCCTTCAGCAACCAATGCTTGTAAGAGGCGACTAACGGGATCGGGTCTCATCGTATCCCAATTACGTAGATCGATGCTCATGCTGTTGATCACTTGGTTCTCTGGTCCAGACTCGATTATTTACAGACCGCCGCCATATAGTTGGAATATTGGACTGCGGCGTTAAACAACAACCAACCAACCATTACTACGCCTAAAGCACAACAAATGACATTGCTATCGTGTATAGTTGAAAGTATTTCGTACAGTGAAAGACAGATATACCAACCAACCAGATTGCACATTGTGGATACTGGATTAGACTTGTCTTAAGCAACCCATGCTTGTTGTAAGAGATGACACGTCATCACATAACAATTGCATAAATCGGTGCTCATGCTGTTGATCACTGGGTTGCCTGATCCAGATTCGATTATTTACAGGCTGCCGCCATATAGCTGGAAGATTACCCAGGACGTTGGAAATGAAAATAGTTTATTTATCAACTGAAGCGACATTTATATGCTCAAACATGATGATGAAATTTCCACCTCAACAAATCTAACACATTTCAAGACTTTGGATATGTGCCCTCTACAGCCAGAATTCTATATATAACATGTTGAAGATAAAAACCTCCGACAAGTACCATGCAAATTTAGAATATGTCTACACGATTTCAAAGTAAAAATTGCAAGGAAGAGTAAAAATATTGAAAATGTTAATATTATTTGCACAGATTGTTATGATTACAGCATCGATGATGAATATATACTTAACAACATTAGAAACGCACAACAGTAAAATGCACCGACGATGCTCAGATATCATGAGTACATTTCAGTCTGACGGCGATATTTCGTATTATATGGGTGGTGCGTTTCTAATGTTGTTCAGTATATATATTCTCTCTATAATTGTACTCTAGGACATGTGGCCATACTACTGAATAAACGATTGATTGATTGATTGATTGATATTGCTGATTGCGGCGTTAAACACCAAACAAACAAACAGCAACGAAAAAACAATACAACAACAGGCGGTCTCCATGCGAGATCCGAAAATGTAAGTGAAACTACATTCGTCTAAATGTTCCAGTTTCAATTCTTCACATCAAATGATGGCATGTTTTCATAAAGTGTTGGCGTAGGTGAATGCTGTTTTATGCCGCCAGGTACATCATGACTGACATTAGTTACCATTTGAACTAAGTCACATTGCAGTTTTGGGGGCGAAAGCCATTTATAATTTACACAAAACTGGATATATTTCATCACCAGGAAAGTTTCATAAACTGTGGGACAAAACAATCTCTACCTCTCAGTTGATTTGATCATATGTTTGATTGTCAGTTAACTAACGATGTTATGTCTGAAACATTTAATGTATATGCGCTTAATGTGCACGCAAAGAATACTTAGACTTGGATATATTCTTGAAAATAATAATAGATTTTTTAAACTAAAGTCTTTCCAAACTTAAAGAAACAAGCGGACACCACACATCTGTTGATGGGTACCTTGGGCATTACTTTTTAAAAATCAATACATTTTGTTCTTTCGACTAAACACACTTGAGGATGTAATCCCTACATAACTATATCCACTGTCTATTATCAAAGTTAAAAAGTAAAACGATATTATTTCATTGCCTTACATGTCTTAAATCTGCGTTTTAAATCGCCTTTACCCAGGAAACATTTCGTCATTAAATGTTGCATCAGAAACTGACTAATCGATTAAAGGGATTTCACGAGATTCAAGGACGAAACATTTAAAGGGATTTCACGAGATGATTCAAGGTCAAACTAATGTTAAGGCTGGGTTTCTGCATAACGTGAATGATGTTTTATGCCGCCAGCTACATCATGGCAGTTATGACCTGCACAAAAGTGATATGTTTCATTACCAGAAACGTTTCTGTGAAAAACAATACATTTTGTTCTGTCGGCACAAAATTATAAAATTTCAAAAATATGGTTGGGGCCATGTGAGTGGAAGTTGATTTCTTACCCCAGTCTTCAGTGAACCAGTGTATTTTTACCTAGCCACAGATGACTAATGATATACTGGGTACAATGTGTGAAACTCATTTCTAGTGTCCCCCGCCGTGAATATTGCTAAAAGCGACGTAAAACTAAACTCACAGGCAGTCATAAATCTCCAATCTTCATCAGCCAGTGAAGCCTAAAGGCATCATTCCTTTCTTTTCCAGACCCGGTTGCCTCCTTACTTCGACCCCTGGAACAATGTGGCACTCCGGTTCGCAGAGCTGGTCGGTAACAAGACTATGAGGGAGGAGGTTCTAAAGGTGCGAGTAAGCCTGGGTGAACCAACTATATAGAACACCCACCCACGTTACGTGTGTTGAGCGCTAGGGAAGCTTTGTGAGTAAATGGGTGTGTTACCTCAGTAACATCAAGGCTGTTCAATGTAAACCCTTGCGTATTTTTAACGGTAAAATGTGGAGCAGAATTCTGTGAATCTTAATTCGATACATCTTTGATGGAACCGAAGACTTGGAGCTGCTATATATCAGTGTGTACAAATGCGTATCATTCTTTGAAATCCCACTGAGGGGTAGCCGAGTGCGTAAAGCGAATCCGCTAAGGACCCGGGTTCGAATTCCCATAGATGCACTATGTGTGAGTGAGTGAGTGAGTGAGTGAGTGAGTGCGTGAGTGAATGAGTGAAAAGGGTTTTCGTCTGGTTTCAGGTACATTTCCGGGGTTCACCGAAGATCCAATCATGGTTTTCCCACCCTGATATGGTTTTTTTAATGTTTGACTTCTTTGAGTGGCATTTTAGAAGTTGGAAGTCAGATAGAACAAGTATATATGGATGACAACTTCTTTTATTCTAGGGCACGACGTTTCCATACAGGTTCTTGTATCGTTTTCAAGTATGAAATCTACTTGTTAATGTTGCTGAAGACGACGTATGACGAAACTGATTGTAACATCTGTAACACATATATAACTGTTACCTGCCCCACTGCAGCTGCCTGTGCTTGACATCGACCGCCTGTGTGGGATGAAGGAGGAGAGACTAGCCCATGTCCAGCTTGCGGTCATGACATCAGGGTACCTGTGGCAGAATGGACTTCAGGATGTCCCAAAGGTCAGACACTCGCAAACAAGCTCAAAATCATACCGCTCACCTAGGAGTATGAAGACCAGTTAATCAGCATCGGCATGATTATATAAATATACTGATTAATAAGCCGCATGTTAGATGAGGGAATACCGTATGCTGTATGCTTCAGTCAATGTTCAGATTTTGTTATAAGTACCTTGAGTGAAACCGCGTGCCTGGATAATTGAAATAATTATTAAATTTCAAATTAATCTTCACTTTAAATCTTGAAACGTATTGGTTAAATTTCCCCGAAAATAGTGACCTATTAAAGTTTGATCTTAGAGACAAGAATCACCTCCTTGTAGAGAATGTCCAAATACTTCCAGCCTCTGTTAAATACCAACATACCTTTAGAGACAATGTCTAAATCATGCAATGACGCCAGCAATATCGTCATATATATCATAACATATATAAGTACAGAGCAGAAGTTTTCTATCTTTCGTACAGATGACGAAATCAAAGAATAAATGATTACTTCGTAAGGACAAAATTAATAATACGTTTAATCATAATCAATTGCAGGTCCTGCCCAAATGTTTGGCTGTTCCCTTATATGGGATGTTTGAGAAACATGGGTTCCAACCGGTAATCACATACGCCGATCTGTACTTGTCAAATGCCACACTGAAGGATCCGAATGCGTGAGATATTGCTTTACTTTGTAATTGGATTGTATTCAATCGTATTTTCATTAATGTGCGCACCGGTGAAGATCGGGATTAGAATTGGTCTTCAGTAACCCATGCATGTCGTAAGAGGCGACGAAAGAGGCGGTCAGGCTCACTGACTTGGTTGACACATGTTATCGTATCCCAATTGCGCAGATCGATGCACATGATGTTATTCACTGGATTGTCTGGTCCAGACTCGATTATATACAGACCGCCGTCATATAGCTGGAATATTGCTTAGTGCGGCGTTAAACAACGAACAGACATAATGTGCGGCTAACGACTAATTCATGAATTATTAAAGGAATTAAACTTAATATGTAATTTTTGAAACCCAGAATGGTTATGCCTATTAAAACCAGAATTTCTCCTTTCATATATCATTCGTATCACGAGTCGAGATTCGAGTGCTCGTGTCCTTCAAGAATATTATGCCTTCTCACGGAAAGCGGCGACTGGTGCCGATGTGCAATTTATCATTATCATGTAGTTGTAAGCAAGGGGTTTTCACCCACACTCGTCATCACTCATTATAACCAAATGATCTGTTTCAGGCCTGCTGTTATCGAGTAAGTGAATTCTTCGTTTCCTTTTGAAAGTTACCTCTTCTTTCTCATCTGCAGCTGTTACACGTGAAATGACAATACGTACGTGTGTGTGTGTGTGTGTGTGTGTGTGTGTGTGCGTGCGTGCGTGCGTGCGTGCGTGCGTGCGTGTGTGTGTGTGTGTGTGAGGAAGAAATTTGACGGATTTAATGACTTTGCAAAACGCAACAACATATTACCAGTTGTATCGTTGTATAGTGTATAGTTACCATATGGTGATGGGTGGTTTGACGCTGCTTGTGTTGAAAAGGGAGCACATTTTAATATCAGATACCGAACACAGGTTGCGTTTGTTTGGGCAAACGTTTTAGTAAAAATATTTATTTAAGCTAACATGACAAGTACGTTTCAAAGTGGAGGGTGGCTGTGGGGTAGCCTAGTGGTTAAAGCTTTCGCTCGTCACGCTGGGGACCCGGGTTCGATTCCCCACGTGACGTTGCTGGAATATTGTTAAAAGCGGCGGACAACTAACCTCACTGTTTCACTCAAAATGGAGGTATTCGGCTCCGCCCAGTAGCCAGTTATGATCTGACATGAATAGCCTTTCTGTGAGTAGCTAGTTTGAATAGCATTGTTGAAATCTATGTTTCATTTGCAGGAACCTCGCCGCCATTATCGACATGATGGGAGGGTCGGAATGGCTGTGGTTCTTCGCCGTGGGGTTAAGAGTCGAGCAGGACTTTGCAGATGCAATGCAGGTAGGGTGATTAAGGAGACATGGAACGTCGTATCGGCAATATATATGAGACACTGTGCTAGTCTCGACGTCTCCGTGAAAGGAGTGAGTGAGTGAGTTTAGGTGCACGCCGCACTCAGCAATATTCCAGCTATATGGCGGCGGTCTGTAAATAATCGAGTCTGGACCAGACAATACAGTGATCAACAACATGAGCATCCACCGTGAAAGGAAAACAATGAACATTGGCAAACACTTTTAACTCGATATGTCGTTGAGGACGAAGGTATATTCCGTCAGGTCTGTACAGACCAAGGTATTAATCTGATATGTGTTTATCATCTGTGTCCGATATAGTGTCCAAGGTATTAATCTGACATGTGTTTATCATCTGTGTCTGATATAATGTCCAAGGTATTAAGCTGACATGTGTTCATCATCTGTGTCTGATATAGTGTCCAAGGTATTAAGCTGACATGTGTTTATCATCTGTGTCTGATATAGTGTCCAAGGTATTAAGCTGACGTGTGTATATCATCTGTGTCTGATATAATGTCCAAGGTATTAAGCTGACATGTGTTTATCATCTGTGTCTGATATAGTGTCCAAGGTATTAAGCAGACGTGTGTATCATCTGTGTCTGATATAGTGCCAATGTATTAAGCTGACATGTGTTTATCATCTCCTTGTCTGATATAGAGTCCAAGGTATTAAATTTACGTGTGTTTATCATCTCTGTGTCTGATATAGTGTCCAAGGTAATAAGCTGACATGTGTTCATCATCTGTGTCTGATATAGTGTCCAAGGTATTAAGCTGACATGTGTTTATCATCTGTGTGTCTGATATAGTGTCCAAGGTATTAAGCTGACATGTGTTTATCATCTGTGTCTGAGATAGTGTCCAAGGTATTAAGCTGACATGTGTTTATCATCTCTGTGTCTGATATAGTGTCCAAGGTATTACGTTTACGTGTGTTTATCATCTGTGTCTGATATAGTGTGCAAGGTATTAAGCTGACATGTGTTTATCATCTCTGTGTCTGATATAGTGTCCAAGGTATTAAGTTGCATGTGTTTATCATCTGTGTCTGATATAGTGTCCAAGGTATTAAGTTTACGTGTGTTTATCATCTGTGTCTGAGATAGTGTCCAAGGTATTAAGCTGACATGTGTTTATCATCTCTGTGTCTGATATAGTGTCCAAGGTATTAAGCTGACATGTGTTTATCATCTGTGTCTGATATAGTGTGCAAGGTATTAAGCTGACATGTGTTTATCATCTCTGTGTCTGATATAGTGTCCAAGGTATTAAGTTTGCATGTGTTTATCATCTGTGTCTGATATAGTGTCCAAGGTATTACGTTTACGTGTGTTTATCATCTGTGTCTGAGATAGTGTCCAAGGTATAAAGCTGACATGTGTTTATCATCTCTGTGTCTGATATAGTGTCCAAGGTATTAAGCTGACATGTGTTTATCATCTCTGTGTCTGATATAGTGTCCAAGGTATTAAGCTGACATGTGTTTATCATCTGTGTCTGATATAGTGTGCAAGGTATTAAGCTGACATGTGTTTATCATCTCTGTGTCTGATATAGTGTCCAAGGTATTAAGCTGACATGTGTTTATCATCTGTGTCTGATATAGTGTCCAAGGTATTAAGCTGACATGTGTTTATCATCTCTGTGCCTGATATAGTGTCCAAGGTATTAAGCTGACATGCGTTTACCATCTGTGTCTGATATAGTGCCCAAGGTATATATAAGCTGAAATGCGTTTATCATCTGTAGGGCTGTGTATTGCCCCAAATTTGGTATTGCGATATATTGGGATGCACTCTTCTGTATTGCAATATGTATTGCAATTTATTTATGAAAGAACAATTATTGAGATCTGTCCACTTGGTAATATTCTTTTACCTTCAAATTGAATCACAGTATATGTGAGTAAACATTGTGCATTGTATAGCTTCTTTCAAAGTGAAAAAAGGAAAACGCAGAACATTCTTCTGTTTTTATTTTAAACCAGCAGGGATCGACTCTCACTAAAAAATTTAACTGGCCCTGCGGGCTAGTGGATTTTGTATGTCACTAGTCCTTTCCCAAAATTGCTAGCCCTACGCTTTAATACTATATAAAAACTTTCAACAAGTCTTTATTTATAATTCTTTATACCGGTAATACCGTGCAGCCCGAATCATCTGTGTCTGGTTATTGGTGCTGTACATATTTGCCACATGCACCCAGTGATTAGGTATCAGGTAATACTGGCTTAGTGTTTCAACAGACCACTTTACCCATCCAGTGCTCTATTTTATCGCGTTTATTAAATAAAGTGTATCCTTTTTCATTATCAATAAACTCTCTTTACAGAGAGACAAAAGGCTGATTCATAGAGATGTTAGTTGAAGCACATAATCGGAGATTTACAAACTCTGCTCCCCGAAACCCTGGTCGACTTTGTCAAGATGAAACATTTATTTTTAGCTTGTCCCACGTTCAATAACGCGCAAATCGAGGTCGGACTAATGTTTGTGTAGCGCAGTGTACGTTTTTCCATTGTGAAAAAAGGATTTTGCTAGAGAAGACAGGGTGGAATGGACGCCGAGCTATGTACAGCAAACAACATCAGGTGAAAGAAATTCATGTCGTGGTACGAATTAGACATTTGAAGCCTGTGTACACTTGAACCCACCGACCGTTCAGGTCATTACCATAGTGTGTGGCAAGGCACACCCGGTATAACGTGTTTGCTACACAGAGGAGGCAAGTGTCCGAGCAGAGTACAATTTAGATAAGTGTAAACATAAAATAATAGTGAGTGAGTTGGGTTTTACGCCGCTTCAACAATATTTCAGCAATATCACGGCGGGGTACAGAAATGGGTTTCATACATTGTACCCATGTGGGAAATCGAACCCCGATCTTTGGTGTCACTAGCGGACACTTTAACCACTAGGCTACCCCATGCCCCTCTTTTCGTGTAGTCAGGGACCAAATATTAAATGTTTGGAGAGACTTGGATTTTCATGTCACTATTGTAAGGTGACACACCTTTTTCTGGGCCTTCGACGTGACGAGCGAACGCTTTATCCGCTAGGCCACCCCACCGCCCCTATAAATTGATAATCGTGTGTAGGTTAATACACAGGACTAACGGCAAGGTACTCAAATTTAGCATGCATAAGCGATAACAGTATCACGTCTACATGTACCGGGTATTTGTTTTAATTATTTGTTGACAGTTTCGTTTCAGTTACATTGATAGTGTAGGGAATGCTTGTGTTGGGTCACTCACAGGCAAATTGTAGCGCAAATAGGGTTTGCGCAACAAAGAGAAAATTGGTCACTGGGTCAAACAAAGGGTCACTGTATCAACCCTCTACTGACGGGAGCATGGGACTGTCTGTCGTCTAAGGCCTGAAACATTTGATCGTGGGTTGGAATCCCGGTTCTCCCCGAGTATATTTCCAGGTTTGTTAGCACCCTACATGCTGGTTGGTTTCCCCAAGTGGGACATGTCTAGGACCTGCATCGCTAGGGTTTTACTCCTACGTGGCGCTAGGAGTGAGTGAGTGAGTGTGGTTTTACGCCGCTTTTAGCAACATTCCAGCAATATCACGGCGGGGGACACCAGAAATGGGCATCACACATTGTACCCATGTGAGAAATCGAAACCAGGTCTTCAGTGTGACGGGAGGCCGCTTTAACCATTAGGCTACCATAAGCCCCATGACGGTGACATAACTGAAACACTTTCCAAACCAGACTCCTCACTCACTCACTCACTCATTCACTCCAAGAAACTGACTGTCGTGTTTTATGACATTTACCAGGCGTTCCAGAACGTCCTAGATGGAACCGACGAAAATGATGAAGAAAAGATCGCCAGGTCCCTTGACGAAATATCAGACGCTGTCCTCAACATGCAGAAAACGATGAAACGGTTTCACGGTAAATGTCTATATATAGCCTCCGTGTCTGACCCACGGGATGGTCACCTGACACTTGTTATTAACAAATAAATGTGCTGTAATTAACAACTTATGCCAAAATTAGTTCTTAAATGAATACAAATGAATACTAAGGTATCACTATGCCAGTACATATTAGTGTGGCAGTACACATTCAGAGGCATTATAATACAAGAGTAGTGGTTGTAGCAATATAGACAATGGCCGTAATATTGACTTGTCAACATCAGTGATCCAACTTGCAACTAGGGCTAGGTAGGTTCCATAGCCAGTTCCACTTATGAAGGCAAGAATAAGATGCTAGAAAATTCTACACTAAGGCAGATGTTTCTACAATATTCTGTGGGTCAGAACACGGTGGCAGCCTCTAGAACTGTCTAAATATATCGCAAGTCTAAATATAGCACATCCAGTCTCCTTATTGAAATCTACAGGTAAAATGTATGACAGGTGAAAAACTGTTGCACAGGGAATGACACACCCACTAAACAGCTGGAAACTGTGTATTTTACCGGACCATGTTTACATGCACATCGTGACAAGGGCTTGCATCAAATTGGCGTGTCTGAACTAAATTCATAACACTTTCTGAATGGAATAATCATTTTGTAAATCCGTACATCACACAAGTTGGATCCCCAAAATCCCAAAGTGGAATGTTACTACGTTGATAATAGTATATATACCGACATTCACTGTGATTATTATCATTTCGTTATATATGGGGCAATGAATCTTTATCAAAAATAATCTCTTAAATTTCAGAAAACCTATCAGTAGAAGGCTTTTTCCCGAAAATGACGGTTTTCTACGGCGGGTAAGTTCATTACGAGGCCTGTCCCCCGCCGTGATATTGCTAGAATATTGCTAAAAGCGGCGTAAAACCTCACTCACTCATAACGACGCCTTACCTGTGAAGATCCGGGTTAGAATTGGTCTTCAGTATCCCATGTTTGTCGTAAGAGGCGACTAACGGGATCGGGTGGTCAGACTCGCTGACTTGGTTGACACATGTCATCGTATCCCATTTGTGTAGATCAATGTCCATGCTGTTGATCACTTGATTGTCTGGCCCAGACTCGATTATTTACAGACCGCCGCCATATAGCTGGAATATTGGAGTGCGGCGTTAAACAACAACAAACCAACAAACCTTTACTACGCCTAAAGCACAACCAATGACATTGCTATCGTGTATAGTTGAAAGTATTTCATACAGTGAAAGACAGATATAATAATTTTGACATCTGGACAAGGGATATATAAGGTGAAGTGAAACAGTTATAATACAATACTACACCACATGACGGAAGCATTTGCGCATTTCCTTGATAATAGGTTGCGTTGGTACCTGATCCGAATATACAAGGTTGGTCTCCCCAAAACAATCGACGTTTAATGTGATCGTGCATCGTCCCATCCCGACAAAATGCATTCAAATGTTCAATAGTTTACATCTAAATAACGTTTTACAACGATTTGCACATGCAGCACACTGTTATTCACATGTTTTGACTGCAGTACAGTTATTTATATATATTCACACCACATGATCAAATTGAGATTTCCCATTGGACAATAGTCTTCTGTTCTTGGTTTCAGGTACGGGGAACTGGGGTTGCATGAAGGCCTTATTTTTGAAGGTGTTAAAGACGAGCCGATTAAGGTGAGAGAGTGAGCGAGTTTAGTTTTACGCCGCTTTTAGCAATATTCCAGCATTATCACGACATTGGACACCAGAAATGGGCTTCACACATTGTGCCCATGTGGGGAATCGAACCCGGGTCTTCAGCGTGACGAGCGAACGCCTTAACCACTAGGCTACCCAACCGCCCCTTATTAAGTGTGGTGTAGAAGACCGACCATTTAATATGTTCAAGAATACTTGTTTCTGTATGTTCAAGCATACAAATATCAATGAAAAATATAAGATCCAATTCTTTTTTTAATAGTTTCTGGAACAGTCCTATTTTAATTGTACACTGGGATATGAATGTATTGTCTGACTTTGTTTACTCTGGAATCAGCACAGGGATTTCTGAATTACTGCCTGGAAAGGTTCGCAATTTGCACATTCATAAAACTAAGGAGGTGATATTGGATTTTTTGTCATTTTCATTTTGGTTTTCAAATGCAGTTAATCCGGTTATTTTGTCTTGTAACAATGTATGGTTCAGGGTATTCAGATTCCAAGCTAATGTAACAGCACCAGTGTGAAAAGGAAAGCATTTTCGCTTTGGCCGCAAACTGTCTCGGCACGTGGTGTCTTACTTAGATGGAGAATAGACTATGCGATATCAACCTGAATCTTAGCTATTGATCAATTTCACTCATTGAGAATAGGTTTCATGACAATAAATCATATACATGTATTTAGATTGTACTTCCTTCAGAGAGAGGGGCGGTCGGGTATCCTTATAGTTAAAGCGTCCGCTCGTAACGCTAATGACACGGGTTCGATTCTCCACATGGGTACAATATGTGAAGCCTATTTCTGGTGTCCCCCGTCGTGAAATATTGCTAAAAGCGGCGTAAAACTATAATTACTCACTCCTCCAGACAGAACCATATTGTAAAGAAGCTTCACTACTACCCTGCTATAATAACGTTGAATAAATCCACACGATTAGACATTAATGTTGCTGTATAATGTTGAATATATGTTGTTATAACATACAAACATGTCAGTCGACAAACAAATGATTCAACTGTCTCTTGTTTCAGGCCAAAGGTGCCAACGCTGGACAATCGCCAATACTCAAGGCTCTCGACGCTCTGCTAGGAATAGAACACGAGGAGAGTGAGTTATTTCCCTTTATATATCTGTTGAAGCTACACAAATATATCTCCATGGATGCAAATAGACACATGGGTAAAAAAGAAATATATATAAGGTAACAAATATTTAACCGCTTCAGTCATAGAACGGAGCGTCCTTTATTGCGTCAGCTTAACACTTTGTAGAAGTGCCAAGTTTGTCCATATCTGAACCCATATTCAGCGGATCCTGCTACATCTGAGGAAGCAATACCACGATGCATTTGGGCTCAATGCCCTCTATGTAGGTGGATTTCTGGTAGTACTGGAAAGAGCCACTGGGTTTGGGATGCATCGTAAGTGAGTGGGTGAGTAAGTGTGGTTTACGCCGCTTTTAGTAATATTCTAGCAATATCACGACGGGGGACACCAGAAATAGGCTTCACACATTATACCCATTTGGGGAATCGAACCGTTTACTTAATAAATCTTTTGACTGGGCCTGTATTAATTTCTTTTATCGTGTGAAACCACCGTCCCGATATGAGATCTTATTGGGTGTCTTAAATTCAATCTATAACGATAACGCTCTTCCCAATGTATATCACTTCTGAATGATTCCAGAGTTGCGTCCCTTGGAAAGCCATGATCTGGTTGGGTCGGTTTTGTTTCTTGGTTATGAGCACCATACCATGCTCGTTGGTTTCACCTGCATCACTTGTTTTGGTTTCGAACTGGGATCCTTATTTAAAGATAATTTTCATTTCCAGAGCTTGTAACACTTATTCCGTCATAGTTATAGTTCTATTCAAACTGCATATTGCTATGTTTTCCGATTATCATGATCTGAACTTGGCCTAAATAAACAGTACTATTTAAAAGTAATTGTTCGAAGTAAAGAAATAACAGGGAAAATATATGTTATTATTATTATAGGGAATTTATATAGCGCACATATCCAGGCAACTAGTGCATGCTCAAGGCGCTGGTATTTTTTCCCTCGATCATTGGATGTCAATCTCAACGGCACATCGTATCAATCTCCTCTGAGGAGTATACATGTTAAAGGGTTGGTTGTTGATGTTACAGAGAGGCATGCATATACTGAGGAGATTATTACCTATATGGTACCCAAACACGGGCGCCTCATACGGGATTTGCGCAAGAGGCCCAAACAGTTGAAATCAGTCGGTAAGTCCTTTCATTTGAGTGAGTGAGTGAGTTAGGTTTTCGCGCTTTTAGCAAAATTCCAGCAATATCACAGCAAGGGACACCAGAAATGGGCTTCACACATTGTACACATGTGGGGAATCGAACCTGGATCTTCGGCGTGATAAGCAAATGCTTTAACCGCTAGGCTACCCCACCGCCCCTTTTCAGTTTTCAAGACGAGATGTTGTTGATGTTACAGAGAGGCTTGTTGAAAATAGAAACATTTAAGAGCAAGATTATAGGAGTGTGACTAGTTGAAGTGCGGAATAGCACCTTGTTCAATACAGAATCGCAGCAGAAGAATACCCAGTCTTGACTATCCTCAAAAACAAATCCTGTTTTGTGTAAAGCAATAATTGGCTGTGATGATAATATGAATTGGTCACTGACAATCAGTGATGGCACCTGGTGTCCGTTATCAAGATAATGTATGCATATGCAGGCTGAGAGAAGGCTGTTTGTTGGTTTGTTCCGGTTTCAGAGAGCTAGCCCACTGAAGAACCATCTGCAGTTTAACATTGCCTCAAACACATGACGGACTCCCACCAGGCTCCTGACTAGTTTCACTCATGTCATCGTATCCCAATTGCGTAGATCGATGCTCATGCTGTTGATCACTATCATAAGGGTAATGCTAATTTTTAGGGCATTAACATTTGCAGAAGCCCGAGGTCTTTCCATTCAGTTGAAAAAGACCGAGGGCTTCTGCAAATGATAATGCCCTCAAAAATAGCATTACCGTTATTATTGCTAAAATACATGGAATTTGTGTTGAAAAGAAAAGGGAACAATGAAGGAATTTGACTGTGAGTTTACCCAAATCAACTTCTGACGGGGTTGACTGCCCGAATGCAATTACATCATCGAACAATTCAAGTGACGTCAGAAAGTGACGATATTCGACCTTGGCCTTTGACAAGACCATAGCCTGCAACATGGTCCATCAACAGCCTTAATAGTGTTAAGGTTAGCACCAACAAGAAAGCCAGTATTAGCGCTATTTAAAGCGGGAAATCGGGTTGCTTTGACTTGTTTGACCCAGAATATCTGCCAGTCGAAAGCCAATTAATGTCGAATGAACCGTAAGCCCACGCACCCACTAGTATGACTTCACTTGACAACAGAACTGATAGTGGCCCGTCGTTAAGGTTGAGCGGTCCAATATCATTTGCAGCGGTCCAATATCATTTGCAGCGGCCCACAAATTTCTGATATGGGAGGTCCGTTTCATGATAATTCCATGTATTTTAGCTATAAATTGTCTTTACCAGACTCGATTATTTACAGACCGCTGCCATATAGCTGGAATATTGCTAATGGTCCGTTAAACAACAAACCAACCAACCAACCTCTCACAAGGAGCTGGCACAACTAAAATATTGTTCACGCCTTTGGAAATACGGGCATGTATAACACAATATTTGGGTAGAATCTTGCAATGATGTTTCATACCATTAAAATACACTTCAGATATTATTTTAATGTTGTCAATTTTTTTCTAAGTTTTATGACGACCGTCCTGAATTTGAAAATTATCAGTAAATATACTGTTTCGGATATATATGACTAATATTCACTGTAATGCTTCAAGATGTTTGTACAAATATGTAAACTTGTGTGTATACAGTTGAATCCAGCAGCAACACTGACCTGCAGCAAGCCTACAACAACCTGGTCCAGTCCGTCCTCAAGTTCAGGAACTACCACGTGCAGATTGTGACCAAGTGAGTCAACGGAAAACAATCCAAACAAATAATCAGTAGCGTAGTCCTCAAATCTGACGCCATTGTGACGCAGTGCCATTGCTTTAACTCCGCGAAATCATGATTTCCTTTCATCTGCGCATTCGTGGATCATCCACTCACCCTTATATTATTTTTAAGCATGACAATCATGTGAAACCAATTATGTGAAGATATATTTCACCAATATTATTAGAATTGTTTCACGAATTAATTAATTTTGTATTTTAAGTGTACCTCTCACGATTTTGAAGTGTCCACCAATGATGACTTCATATGTGCCAAAACAAATCAAGCAGAACTTTATATGGTCCCCAGGGAGTTGAGATTGATATTGACATCCAGTGATTGAGGGAAAAACAAAGCGCATTTGAGCAGCTGAGCTGGATATCGGCGCTTTACAAATGTTAGTATGTATGTATGTACGTATAATCACTGGTTATTCCTTTTCAAGGTACGTGGTTCAAGGCGTGAAGAAGAACTTCCCACCAGAAATGAAAGAGAGTTTCCACCCAGTGCAGCAATGTAAGTTATAGCGCTCATGGCGTTCTGGTGTTTTATAGGCTAGGGGTTTTAGTTAGGATTCCATGTGAGAACAAACACACAGCAACATATTCTTGTCATACATCAGGATTCTGGATTAGGGTAGGTCCAGGGAACCTATGCTTGGTCACACCATAGAGATTCAAAGTTAGAGTAGGTCCACAGCAGCCTATGCTGTCATACCGACGGATTTAAGGTTATAGTTCTCAGCAATCATACTGGGCCTTGATTATCGAAGCTCTCTTAGCGCTAAGGTAGTCGTAAGTCAATGTCAATGTATGGCACTTAAGACTATCTTAGCGCTAAGAGAGCTTCGAAAATCTAGGCCCAAGTCATACAGTCCAGAGAAACCAATGCTGGTCATAACAATATTAATGAAATACAAGGTTAAAGTAGGTCCTCGGAAACCCATGCAGGTCATACCATGTGGATTAAAGGTTAAATCAGGTCTGCAGCAACCTATGTATGTCATACCTTCGGGTTAGAACAGTTCCACAGCAACAAATTCTGGTTCTGTTTTGTTATAAATGTTTTAATTATATATTTTTCGGCAAGTTCTTGTTTCAATATGATCCATGTGTTTTCTTTCCACTATAATTCCAGTTATCATTAACTATGTGAAGGGGATGAGAGATGACTGCAAGACTGGGGCAAGCTGAACCTGTCAGCTGATTTGAATTCGTCACCATGGCAACTTGTCATACATAATTATTTTAGGAATACTAATTACACATATATTGTTCCTACTCTTACATTCGAACACCTGCTACTTTTATCCACCAGATAAACTGTCCTTTGTGTGATCGAGGAATATATAGCATGAATTTATTTTTAAATATATATGTGACATTTGATGCTATAAGAATTACATATCTACCAAAGATATGCATCGCTTACATTTGAAAAGACCAAAAATATCTTTTTAAATGTCAGTTTGTGACAATTTTGCCACAAACAATACTAAAGAAATATAAAATAATGATGCCTATTTATTTAGCATTCGTACAAAAAAAGTGAGCATTTATTAAAGTGTATAAAATGATGAATATTGCCTCCATAATACTTATATTTTGGCATATGGTCTTCATACTGAATAGAGGATAGTTAAAGAAAATCATGGCGGCTGTTCCCAAGGCCATGATACATGAAGTACTTGTTCAGATTATTAAAGACAGATGTAAAAATATCTGTATTTACTCTTTTTGTGCATTATACCTCATCAACTACTTTATAACATAGACAAATAAAGTTTCCTTGTATTTTGATTTCTTGCTACAGATGTGTCTAAAATGGATTAAGTTTTTTACCCAAAACATGTTTTGCCAAGAATGTATTCACTTGACCAAATGCAGTCATAGGGTGCCCTTATCAGCATTGACATTGACAGCATTCAGATCTGGTTAAGGTGAGGTGAGGTGAAATTGGGTTTTACGTCGTGCTTGAGAATATTTCGCTCATATGACGACGTGCATGCATGAATACCCCACTCAGACACATTATACTGACTCCGAGCCGACCAATCCTTGTTGTACCCATTAATGCCGAGCGCCAGACAGGGACCAACAAGTACCATATTTTAACGTCTTTTGGTATGACGCGGTCGGGGATCGAACCCACGACCTTCCGCTCTCCGGGCGGACGCTCTAACCACTACACCACGGAGGCGGTAGATCTGGTTAAGGGGGGAGAGGGTATTACAAGGAGGAGATGTTTTCTTATCACATCAGGTGTCCATCAACATTCCACATTATACATCGGAAGCAGCCTACAAAGCACTAGTGGTGTGACGATTCATCGATACGCATCGATGCATCGATCCATGAGCCGCCGATACAGTGAATCGAAACAAAGTTTTACATTGTCGTATATCCCGATACGATACTGCAAATATGCCTCGATACACGATGTTTAACTTTGACTATTCCCGAATCGTGATATCTGTCAAGAAAAAAAAGACTTATTTTTGTTTGATGATTAAAATATGTGCTTACTTATTTTCCCTTTATAAGTAAACGTTTTCTCGGAAATTCTTGCGTCAAGAATTGTGTCAGACATAGCGCTCGTATGTTCTTAACATTCACAAAGTCTGTGTATAAAATTAATCATTAACATGGAACCACGCTTGCGGAATTTGACGAAAAAGTTTTAAATTGATTTTGTTTTGATCTTAAGGTGTTTTATAGTTGGTCTCAGCATAACAGGTTTTAGTATCGTTATACGTATCGTATCGCCACCCTTCTATCGGGTTTCGTATCATATCGCAGCTTAAGTGCACAATACTTTGACAATATATCGTCGTGACTACAATTTTAGTATCGTGATGCTTGTTGTATGCCAATACCAGCACTACAGAGCACTCAGCGGATTCTCATCAGAATGAGTTTAGTTTTACGCCGCACTCAGCAATATTCCGGCTATATGGCGGCGGTCTGAATTATTCTCATCAGAAGACAACATTGTTCAGCAGAAGATAATCCACTTAGGTAACCTCATTCTTTATAATGCTGTGGGGTAGCTTAGTGGTTAATGTGTTCGCTGGTCACGCCAAAGACCCGGGTTCGATTCCCCACATGGGCACAATGTGTGAGGCCCATTTCTGGTGTCCCCTACCTTGATATTGCTGGAATATTGCTAAAAGCGGCGTAAAACTAAACTCACTCACTCACTTTATAATACCCTGCATCACCGGCGAGGCTTCATGGTAGAAGAAACTCCATCCTCCATATTTAACACATATTTACAAACATTTATCCTCGATCTGGGCAGCAAACGGATTAATAATCTCCATATGTCCCCATATGAAAATATGCCTCACTTGGCACAATATTCACACAAAATATAATGCATTACAAAATATTTAGTTTATATGTTTTTGAATTAACTTTCAGTTTCAATCTTTTTTAGAAACTGCATGTAGATTTATGTTGTTTTTTAACCTAGGTGCTTTAGCAGTTTTATTTTGAAATAAAAATATATATTATCTCATCTGGGGTTTTTCCACTTATATAAACCCTAATTTACAAGTTTGTGTGTTGTTTTATGTTTTACTCAGTGATGAGGTAGCTGTTTAACTGAGTCTGGACCAGAAATTCAAGTTGCTGACACAATGAAAAATCGATCTATGAAATTGGAATACGATGATGTAATGCTAGGCCACAGTTTGGCATGAGCACCAACTCAAACATTAAGTGATTATCATCACTAGGCAATATGACAAGAACCATCATGTCAAACACTTTATACTCTCTTAACATCTCTCTATACACCACTCACAAAAAGTTAAAGAAAGACCAATATTTTGTATGACAACATATCTGTCATGGCTGGTGGATACTGCCACAGTGAATGAGTGAGTTTAGTTTTAAGCCACACTCAATCGAGTCTGGACCAGACAATCCAGTGATCAACAGCATGAGCATCGATCTGCGCAATTGGGATTCGATGACATGTTTCAACCAAGTCAGCGAGCCTGACCACCCAATCCCGTTAGCCTGACCACCCCACCCGATCCTGCCTCTTACGACAAGCATGGGTTACTGAAGATCACTTCTAACCCGGATTTTCACGTTTGGATAGTGCCACACATAGCCTTTCCATGTGGTGTTTCTTTTTAACTTGTCTGGGGTACAATACCATACAATGTAGTGAATGTTCCTTAGCACTAGTCAGCAATACTCTTGCAAATTATTGTGTCCTGTGGGTAATCAAGTCACCATCTGTACCAGGTCAATAACATAAAAGCAGCTCAAGCATCAAATTAAAATGAGAAAATATTAGTTACATTCATTAGTTCATCCTACAACGAATATATATTTAATTTAGATTCAAGGACACTAATAATTTACACAAGACGATACCTAGTCACGATTGCAATATTAAATTTAAATTGGTACCATCTGTAACTAGGAACAGTATAAAATATCATGAGCAGTCAATCACCACACTGAGTCACTCAGTCTGGTCACACATTCAGAGACCAGTCCTGTTTCACTGACTTACATAGAAGGAAATAATATATGATTATTGGCAGACAAGTGTCCAAAGAATAGTAATAGTAATAGTCCGCTTATATGGCGCTCATGTCCAGGCACATTGCCTGCTCACGGCGCTACGTACATTACTATCCTCGGTCATAGGACACAATCATACTTTCCGATACTTTTTCAACTCCCTGGGGACCATGTAGCCATGCTGCCTGTTAGGCGCAATGAACTAGACACTCACATTGCCAGCACATCCTCACGGGCAGCTGAGTGAACTGAGACAATGTGGACTGAAGTATCTTGTCCAAGGATACTACGCAAATGTGCCCACCTCGGGAACAGAACCTAGGTGCCTCCACCGGGGATCGAACCCGGGCCTTCAGCATGATAAGCAGATGCCTTACCACTGCACTATTGCGCTCCTAAGAATGTAGTTCATCATTTCAACTATTATTTCTAAGTTTTAAAAAAGTTATGCACTTGTTTCAGCTGAATAGCATAATTGAGCTCCCGAACATAAAACCTTTTACAACCCCTCTAGTGCCTCATCTACCTGACGGGTGGGTGGGGTAGCGTAGTAGTTAAAGTGTCCACTTGTCACCTGATGACCCGGGTTCGATTTCCCACATGGGTACAATGTGTGAAGCCCATTTCTGATGTCCCCTGTCATGATATAGCTGGAATATTGCCAAAAGCAGTGTAAAACCATACTCACTCATCTACCTGACCAGTGTGGATTAGATTCCTGTCTGAAAACATGAATCCCTGCCAGCTTCCACCACAAGTCCCAATTCAAGAATGGAGCATTTGCCTCCTTCAGGACATTTGTCAATGATGAATTTTGGACACATGCGAGTGCATTGAATATTGTGATAAGTTCTGCTATCTTTGCTTCTGACTATTATCTTTGCATTGCATTGCCAATTGGTGATTTTAAACCTCAGTATACTAAAACTGTGTTTCCATATACTTTGTCAGTTAATTACTAATCATGTGAGGCCAATTACCAATATCATAAACCCCTACAGATTCGGGTTAGAACTGGTCTTCAGCAAACACAAGCTTGTTGTGAGAGGCAACTAAGTGATTGGGCAATCAGGATCGCTGACTCATAGTATCAGAATTGTGTAGATTCATGGTCATGATGTTAATTACTGGATTGTTTAATCCAAAATATTTACAGACTGCTGTCATTCGCGGTAATATTGTTGCATGCTTCCTTAAACAACAATCTACCAACTGATTTCACAATTTCACTCAGTGCAAATTTGTGCAGTTTCTTTCTGTTTAAATATAGAAAACACCTCTTAACAGCATTGCATACAGTGAACCTATTTGCACCAGAATCAAAACCGGTCCTTGTATTTCCACAAATAACAACACTGACAACAAGCATAAATTCAACTTTGGTTATTCAACCTTTTCATTAAGAAAATATGTAATGATCAACAAGACAAAATTACATGGCCTAGATACAATACACCCAAGTACAGAATATCTCCCCTCAACCCAAAGTTTGTATATACATATGAAGATGTATAAAACATACAAAGTGTAAAATATAGTTTTGAAACAGAACACATTGATGAACTTAGTATAAGTCAGAGCCTGTTGATTCTCTGAATGACCACAATCTGTAATTCAGCATATGTTTAAGTATATAAGTCCAAGCATCCATGTCATATTCATCATATGTTAATGTTAGGACTTCAATGGAATTAAGAACTTTCAATGTTTCCAGTAACCCCTTTAACCTTCTAAAACTAGTCGGTGTGTGAGTTAGCCAGTTTTAACAGTAATGAAGTTAGATCATGGCAAGTCACCTTGGAAGGAAAAACTTAAGTGTTTCCCACAAACACAAATGTGTCAAACCTTAGACATATAAGACTTATAACCTCTATCTATCATGTCTCTGGCATATCCAAGGGATGCACCTCTGCACAGCACACTGTAGCACCCTGGACTGGGCCACCTGTGTCCCTTTCTATGAGTAACAGTGTCCAATACACACTGCTGAATTTCTTTCTTTTCTTGTTAAGAAACATGATATTGGCATACAAATATGTTATCACAGTCATTCACTGGCACGGTTTGCTTCATTTATCAATTTCATTCCTCTTAAACATTATAAGCTTTATGTATTTTGATTTCAAGTTCTGGGTCCCATTCAATAAAACTGATCATTGCATAACAAATGTCAAAAAAAATATATGTGAGTTACAATCATTTTTGCATTCCAGATATTGTAAGTCTTTCCGTTATCATATAAAGGTTTGTGAGTTATGATCATCTAAGCAATATAAATGTCCTTAGTTAGTTTAAAGTATGCAAGTTCCGATCAGCCTAGCAATACGACAGCATATATTTTCCAGCAGAGGATCCCAGTAGCATTGTTGAATTGACGTCCTCTGTGTACACTACCAACAGACGGACACCATTTCACAGATAGCTCTTGTTTGACTGTCAATTCCAGGAACATAACTGAAAATGTCTTCTACTCCCAAACTCTGCTCAAGACTCAATGGTTTCCAGTCGTACCATTGAAGCAACATGTAATATTACACAGCCATTAGATTGAAAAAAATAACCTCATTAATTGCACATACCATCAACATTATTAAATATCACAATCACTTATGATTATGAATATTGAAATCATAGCCATCTTCATAAGCTTTGCAGCTGTAGCAACTCACAATGGAATTGTTTATACATACAACATCATGAACATGTCTGTTAAACATGTTATATGATCAGATTATCCAATTCAAAACCAAATACATTTATGCCGTTTCAAGTCATCATGAATCTTTCTATAGGAGTCAAATAATAACTAAATAATTACTGGGCTGTGTGCCTGACAAAAGAACCAAGTCAATATTTTTTCTAGGTACCTGAATATCTAAGGTTGAGATATATCCATCTAGTATGTAGTTCAATTCAAACTAGTGGTCTTCATAATGAGTAGATTTTGAGAGACAACATACTTTTATGACCTAACATGTGAATGTCTCCTTTTAACTACACGTATTATTTTTTAGATGTTTAAATGGCATCCATAAGTATCAGAATAGGGATTATTTTCTCATGCATTGATGTACTAGCCTAATTAAGATTGCATTATTTTAGATAGTGTATTCACCTGGTAACGTCAAGGTTTTATATGCATTGCAACTTGTAAGGCCAGAACTCTTCACCTGCAAACAAGGCACTGTTTACATTCAAAAAGCAATACAAAAGGTTTCCTTGCACTTACACTTCTATAAAAATCCCATGAATAAATGCCCCCAAGTAAAACAAAGAGTTTACAAATTACACAAGGCGCTGTAACCATAAACAAAACATAGATCTAATTGTCATCAAACATTTCACCCATAACTGACAAACGCATGTGGAAAGGCAAAGCTTGACACTTCATCATGCTAGGAACATACGTGTAGTTCAACTCATAGTCCTTAAGTTCTCTGTAAAGATGATTAATGTTAGGGTGTTCAGATATATTTTTATCACTAGCTCCTGTTAAACCAGTAAATATCTCCAACAGCTTTGCAGCAAGATGTAAAGAATGTTTCTTCCGATCGATATATGTAGTCTTTTCTTCAAGTTTTAACATGTTTTCCCTTTTTGGGTTCTCCGACTTGGACTTGCTACTTACTTCAGGTACAGTCGGAGCAATCTCAGAGCTCTCATTGTGATTATTCTCCACAGATTTATCTTTGTGATCTGACGTGTCAACAGTCTTATAGGTCACCTTGACATTCACACGACCATCATCAGCAACTTGTGATGAAACAGTTGAAACTACCTCCTTGGCATCTTCAACTTCCTCATCATTCGAGTCAGCTTCCACCACAACTTTCACTGTTTCAACCTTTTCTTTAGGTACAACTTTCACCTTTTTTTTCAACTTTTTCCCTTCAATAAGACTCTCCTTAACTTCGGTGATATCGAACAGTTCAAGGAGGTTGAGCTTATCATGGAATTCCTGCAGTTCCGCATCCTCTGCTGCCTTCTGGGCACTGCAGCAGTGTATGGCAGCGACATCCATAGGATGAGCCTCTGTGTTAAAGACGTAGCCACCAGTGTCTATGACACATTCACCACTGGGTGTCTTGATGACTTTACCATGGTTGCCTTGGTTGTGTATGAAGTTGTCTTCGTCAAACAGCAGATACAGGTACTTGGTGGTCTCTGCTAGGAAGAAAGATTCCATCCTGTCTTCGAGGCGATGGTTGCGTACATCTTTAACCTGGATGTAATAGATGGTGAATGTTATGCATTTTGCAGACATACCAGCAAGTTTGAATAACAATCCACATACTAAAGATTATACATGCATTTCCAAAATGGGAGGAATGGCCAAGGACCTGTTTAAATTCAATGACTGCTCCTTTTCTCTCATGCATTTTTTAATTTCAGTTAAAGTACAAAGATTCCTTCTATTTTCATGTCTATTCTTAAAGAAATGTTTTAAATGGCCAGTTAAGGTAAACTCAGCATAACAACATAAGCAATAGTCTCAATGTTTAGTGTAAATACTGCCACCTTGTATTAACAGACAAAACGTTTTTGTGCAGTAACTGAAGAGACTCAAACTATTTTTAATTCAAATTTATAGTAAGGCCAAAATAAAGTTGAGCTCAACTAACAGTAGCATATCCACATGGTGTCCTGGAACTGTGTTCTATGGCCTCCAAGATGTCAATGCCAATCTCCAGGATGTAGGGGTCTCTCGTAGCCTGATACAAGTACATGGCACTCTCTACCAACTCTGAAAGACATCATAGCAAGACTTAGAGAATGAGGTTTGTCTTATGACACTGATAGCATTGATTTACTATATCATGATGACCTGTAGACGATAACAATCTTCAAAAGCGTACTTCCATACCTTCACCTAATCAATACTTCTTAAGATTCAACAATTACCCAAGTCTCAGGATTGGACAAGTAAAAGTGTAACATTATCTGGCAATACATTTTACAATAACCTGTCAAAGCGACACCATGGCCATTGATGGACATACCACCAATGTCATAGGTGCTGGGATACAAGTAAATATCACATTTGAGGAATAACTATTTGAGTCATACTTTAAGACGGTAAGCCCAGGAGTACATCTAAATTAAACATAACACTCAAAAGAAACAGTTCATTAAGAAACATTGAAATGCCCTCAGGCGGTTTGTAAAACAACTGCTCATTTGTTAGGACAACTTTGACCTGTTTTACTCTGCATTCCTTATAGGAGGAACTCATTATCACTCAGTGACATATACCTCCCAGGGTTCCAGATAATCTTTCAACATCAGGTGTACGTGCTCCTTATTTTTTCAATATAGGAGTACTGGAAATACTTAAGAGTACATTTAGAGTACTGAATGGAATTTAATGGAGTATCAGTAATCTTGTGTTTCGTTTCATATATGCACCACAGCATTGCTAGGCTTGTGTAAACAAGTCAATAAACAAAAAATTATTTTTCAGATAAATACGTCTGAAAATGATGCTAAGACCGTACACCATTGCTGTGGAGTGTATCTGCTACGTTTCCTAAATTATTCCTATTGTATCGGTCATATTTTGTTTCCGTACATATGCCGTTACGGCCTTTATCTGGAGCCCTGCACCTCCTCTTATGAGACACTCACCTGGCCTGAGGGGGTATCCCTCCCTGCCCTGGTGCACCTCAGACTTGGGGATGTTGTAATACTCCGGGGTGAAACCAAACTGCTTCCACACCTGGTGGTAGTTGTGTAGTGTCTTCATGCCCTTCTCTACACTACCCATCATTCCCTACAACAATGAGGTTATCTGTAGGGTTTCTCTTGTGTGTTGTCTTACAGTACATTCAGCAGTATTCCAGCCATATGATGAATGGCTGAAAAATTATATAGTGTGGACCAGACAATCCAGTGATTGATTTTGTTGAGAACAATTCACATAATGTGATCATAATTACACCTTACAACATTTTCACAGAGGTTGCACACAATACAATGAGACTCTGAATATGGACTGTACCATTACAAAGAAACATCTAGATTAAAGACTCATGGTTATGTATTTATGTTCCTTTTACCATGTTACATTGATCAAGATGTTCCCAACAGTAATCTTCCAGAATTAACAGTTCCTGGATTGACAGAGTTCCTACTGACAGGGTCTGACTGGGCATAATCCAAGGGCATAATCAAAGACATACATAGGTGGTTTTCACTTAGAAATCATGCACTCTTTCTTTACTCTGCCCACTCATGATGATAATGGATTTGAATACCTGTACACCTGGCCAGTAGCAATCCAGTGATGTGAAGACTGGTAGAGTTATCCCCCCTTTCTTCATGTTGGCCCACATGTACCAATCATCCCTTTTCACATACTTCTCCACAGTTGCTTCATACTCTGTCAGGACCAAATATCAAAAGCACATTAACAAGTACCAAATCAAATCAAAGTTGATAGTTATTGTCTGCTTTTAAAACAAACTATCCCTGCACTCTATGCATTTCCGGATGTCTGATGTGTGGAAGACAAGGGACCGTTCATAAGTTATGGCTTGGGGGTGGGGGAGGGGGGGGTGTGATGATTTTTTAAGGGAGGGTTTTACAAAAAAGTATGTTTCAAATTATGCTTAGAAATTATGGGAGGGGGGGGTCATTGATTTTGTACATGACATGTAGGGGAGGTCACTTATTTTGTACATAAATTTTAGGGGGGGTCATTCACATTGTACATGCTTCTCCATAAAAATCATCATCACTCCCCTAGCCATAAATTATGAACGGTCCCTAAGAAGAAGAATTTTGATTTGGATCCCATGTCCGTATTTTGTACCTAGATATGTAATCCTATCATGTAATAATGTCATGTCAATTGACAATTATACAAAAATATGTGTACAAAGCCATAAATTAAACCACTGCATTGTTCAAAGCTTAAACCGATAATACGTTGATTGGCTGCTCACTGTTATCTAATTTAATGGTTTTTTATATTTTGGAGTGTTTTAAATGAAAAGAAAAAACATAGTCATCTGAAAATAGTTGACAAGTGTGATATCAATAAGACTTTACATCACCAGTTGAGAAACAATCATGAATTATGGTATTCTGAGTGCTGAATATATTGGTTGAAATACGCATGACAAGAAACATGTTACTTTGTCTGCAGCAGATGCATGGGACATTGTTCCTTTATGTGGATATTATTAGTTACACTGTGTTTTGAAAGGGTGTACAGGACTTTTAGACCTTTGCAAATGCAGTATTCAAGGGTCTTACAGTCCCGTACACCCTTTCAAAACACTGTGTGACGAATTTATTACCCTTAAGATCTTTTTATTTAGCTTATCTTTAAACAACAACATTCAGAATGAGACGCAAAACGTTTCACCATTATTTTTCATGAACGGTCATGAAGGGAGATAACTTGGGATGGCTTAGTTTATGATAAAAAATTATCGAATTTGAGGTTTTGTTAAACGACAAGTGAAATTTATCTTAAGGGTAATAATGACAGATACATTCATTATTTAACTGTATTTAACAGACTGACTGAATTATTTAGGTCCAAAGTGCATGCAAACATAACAATGGATTCTACAATTATAATTGAGAAAAATATATAAATGTATATGGATTTCAGTTTTCTTTCATTTCTAACATTTTGTCAGAGGGAGATAAAGTTGAACTTCCAAATGTTTCGAAATTGTTGATAAACTTGATGGACATACTTCTTTGAGAAGCATTTTAGAAGTTGTATAGATGAAGGAAAACCAAGTTCTATGGATAGTCAACTTCTTTATTGCAATGAGTGCAACGTTTCGGTGTAGGTACTAACACCGGTATCACTTGCTTGATAACGGTGTTAGTACCTACACCGAAACGTCGCACTCATTGCAATAAAGAAGTTGACTATCCATTGAACTTGGTTTTCCTGGATGGACATATTTTGCAGCCAAATAGAAGGTATCAATGGGACTTATTAATTGGCTTAAAGATGTCCACATTTCATATTTAATTCAAATATGAAACTGAATTTCTTCTTTGTTGACCAATGTGAAGATACACCCTTATACTATAAATACACTTACAGGTAGCAGAGCAGAGATCGCAAAAAAAGTCAAGAATTCTAGGATATCATCCGGGGTACCCATGGGACAAAAACAACAACCAGTCCTGGGAAATTGCACTAGATCAGTGGCTCTTTAACTGTTTTTGGCAGAAACTCTGAGCTAATACAAGCCCTAATAAACTAACCTTTGAACATTTCGAGAAGTTCTGGGATCTGGAACATAACAGCTCCCTTGGCCAGGTACTCGAAGTATGAGTCTATCCCTCCACCAATACCAGAGTCAATTGCTGTCCATTTTCCCTCACCAACATCAACATGGTTACCCACCTGTGGCAGACGAAACAAATAATCTTTTCTTAATCATATCTAATTTGAAAAAAAACACTAAATATGTCATTTAAGTTCCTACTACATGTATTCTCTAATTGGATATTTTTCATGAAAATAAATATAAAATCAGATGCAGGCTAGAAAACAAGATCTGATATGCCAAATAATATATCAGTGTTCTTGTAGAACCTGTGGTCTGTGAGTCTGTGGTCTAGTGGACAGAGCATCTGCCAGGAAAGGTGGGAGTCTGAGGCATCATACCAAAAGGCCTTAAATAATGGTACTTATTGTAGGACTGCACGGTATAACCGGTATATACCGGTTTATGCCTTTGAAACGATACGCATTGCAATGTCTTTTGCAATATATTGCAAAACAATTTATTTGACAATACACAACCTTAACTTATTGTATGGCAAAGTAGTGGATAGAGAGTTCACACCATTAGCAAAGGTCTGTGGTTGCCTGGCCACATCACACCAAAAAGATGATATTTGTTGATACCCTGTTGCGGCTCAGTGGTATTGTAGATAGAGGTTGTGGTGATATAGCTGACTGAAGTATGAAGCAGCATTCACTCACTCACAACTCACAGTGGTACAACTCCATTACCTACGAGGTGGAATGACTTGGAGTTCAACATCTCATTGTACAATGACATTTGCGTGTCTGCTTGTACTAGTTCCAGCTGAGGCGGTGGGGTAACCTACTGGTTAAAGTGTTGGCTCATCAAGACCCGGGTCTGATTCCCCACATGGGTACAATGTGTGAAACCCATTTCCAGTGTCCCTGTGATATTGTTGGAATATTGCTAAAGGCAACGTAAACCTCACTCACTCACGCACAAGTTCAAACCGATGACAGTTTTATAGTGATAGCCTACTGAGTTACCATGCAGCAGTTTAACATGAATAACTCCCTCAAACACAATATACCCATGGTGACTTTGAGCTGACCAATGTTTGTTTGATCCTCTTTCAGTCAAGTGCTATGCAAGATAACAACAAGTACCATATTATAAAGTCTTTAAGATTCTCAATCCACTCCACCTTGTAAGGTCACCTCATGCCACAAGGCAATCAAACTAAACACTTTCCTCTACACCAATGTGCAGCACCTTCTGGTGTGAGGTAGTCAGGGTCTCAAACCACACCTGCTCTCAATGCAGACCCCCTTTTCCATTACTTGCCAAGTGCCAGGAAAGGTAACAACATGTAGCATTACGTAAAGTCTTTTGGTATGATGTAGCCTTGGGATCAAAGCACAGACAGACCTCCTGCTCTACAGGCAAACACTCTATCCAACAGACCACTGAGTTGATCAGTTACCTACGACAGCTGCAGAGTAAGTCAAATGTAGCTTACCATTCCAATTTGTGATCTGATATCCCATAATGTCCTGAGTGCCCGCATGGCTACTTTCTCAAAAATAGGATCCCCTGTCAGCCGGCTAAGTGCACCAAACTCTACAAGGAATGTGCCCACACCTGCTGTACAAGTAACAGTTGTCTCCCCTTTGGGAACACCATTACGAAGGTTGACAGTGCCATATGGCATCCCCGTAGGTGTGTCAAAAGCTGGGGAAGAAAAATCATGATAAAGCTGAGTGAAGGAATCTGATGCATAATGTAATAACTCACATCACATTGAAGTTAAGTCCATGGATTATACCACCATCTGATTGATACCTCTCTGCTTCTAAATTCTAAAGCATTCAAAAAAGCATGTATGATTTCTGTATTTAAAAACAAACTTAGACAGATTCTGAATTTTTTAAATAATGATTATATTGTTGTGGAAATTGTACACATCCTGTCATTTCTGAATATAAAGGCATGTATACCTTCACGGCAGTATGCTCATAAGTGTATTTGTGTCTTGTGTGGGTTTTCTTTTGGTAAAGAAAAAATAAATTAGAAAGGTGACATCTGATTAGCCCATTAATTTAGTTTGGGTTGTTAACATTTACTCAGGGTTTGCCTTATATAGTTTTCTATGTAGGGGATGTCAGATCGCTGCAGAGAGGTATTGTCATGGGGAATAAAGACCTGATTGAATTGTGATGACTCAAACCGGAGTCAGTATCATGAGAACAATGCAGTGAGGCCATCTACCTGGCAGGAGTTTCCTGGCAATGACTTCAGCCATCCTGAGTAGTGGCCCTGAGCAGGGCCAGCCTGGTTCCAGGACCATGTCAGCTTTGTGGCTCAACAGGTGGGCTGAGATCAAACCTCCTACAACTGTAACCATATATTGAACACATGTTTTAGATTTACAGTTAGTCCCAGAAATTGAGTGATCTTATCTAAAATATTAAAGTGGAATCTAGAACAAGACTTTCTTACCATTCTAGAATGAGGTCATTTTCATGTTTTAAGCAGACAGTGATAGACTACATGTAGGTTTACTCCCAATATCATGAATACACAGTTTGGTTAAGAGATGAATGGAATAATGCTATAAGTGGCAACTCAACTTTTGCAAAATTAAAATGATAAACCTTTATGGTACTATTACCTCTGATATTGGTTTCAAAAACTGAAGCATTGATGTCCATATCAAAGAAATCTTCAGATTTATCTATAAGCATCTGGGCTATGCGGCGGAACTCACTATGGTTACCCATAATGATGAGGGTGTCAAGGGCATCCACTAGAGTCAGTGAGTAGCTGTCCAAACACAAGGCAATACAGACATTTTCACACATGTTTTTTCAGAAACATATACATAACAAAACTACTGTAAATTAAACCACTAGTTGAAACTAACAAGACTACTAGTGTCCTTGGCATGTGTTGTATTTGAATTTGGCAATCCATTAATATTATATTATGCTCTTAATAATTTTACAGGGTAACAACAATCATTTTCATTCAAAATCTGACAAAAGGGTACACTTGGCAAGTATGATGATGAAGATTTTTCCTAAATTAGACATTGTATATAAACATTGTTAATAATTTCTATGTTCCATCAGGACCAGCTACAAACTAGAGTACTGGTGAATTAAGCTCTACACTAGTCCTCGGGGCGAGCCTTGAAAGATTCAAATTTCTAAGGTTGCTGGTTTAAAATATTTATTGCATTAAATTATCTACCTTCCCCATGTATCCTGTCCATCACAAGAAAGTGGGCGGAGTTCATCATATGGATAAGCATATTTCAAGTAGCTGTCATATGCATGCTGGAACATCTGTACTACCCTCTCTCTGAAACACACATGGAAAATGTTCACTTGTATCAACTTTCAACAGATAGTATTTGTGTTCTGTTTTATATCTTCTCTTGTCTGTTATTTTTGACTAACACATGATACTTATCAGATGACTGGGGTCAACACAGGTAGTACACCAATATACCATAGCTTGACAAAATATATGGTCTGAATATATACTGCACTGTCTACTTTCTCACCCTCACCTTCACCAGTTTTGTGTTGTGATGATCATGTAAACCCAGTAGCATGCGCAGTGCATAACACCATTTCTGTTTACCTTAATAATCTGTGTTTGCGGATAAACTAAGTTACATAAATAGCATCTTCAACACTAAATTAATTGGGGGATGAAATGAATGTGTATACAGTAAATCTTTAAGCATGATTATCACCAGTCACACATGCAATGGCTGTAATAACTGATATATGGTGGAAAGTAACTTATTCTGTTACTGTATCATAGCGTATTATAGTTTTGTACTATTCATTGAGATATGGAAAACAACTGATAATGGTCCTTTTCGTTCATGTTTTGAAATGTTCGACCTTGGTCGTATCTAGTTAAATTACTAAACCAAGAAATTGGTGCTATATGGAAACATATTTCCAACATGTCCAGTGTGAAAGAATTTGAAATATCTTGCAATTGTACAGTTGTGTTGCTTGGCGGTTTTGTTTGTTTATTGGTATGATTTTGATATCAATAAAAGGCCGCATGGTTGTCGGTTTTTCTAACAGTCTATACTTTACAAAAATTATTTAGACGCAACCGCTCACGAAAACTGATGACACTATTCAGTGTTCTGACCGACGTGTCCCAAGCAAAGGAGATTCACCTATATTTCGACATATCAATGTTCCGTGGCGTTTTGCCTTCATCAGCTCGTAGATGTGAGCTCAAGAATATTAGAATCAAATATAACGATCGCCCAAATATTATCTTCTTGTAAGAAAATAAACTTTTCATTATCTCTCTGCTTCCGTCGTCTGCCAACCTGTATTCCGGAGTGATAATTGCCGGGACTTTCACATTTCTTTCATAATAGTTTGATAATAGTAGCATTATCATCATTGAACATGCACTTTCTTTTGTTTTGAAGTTTTGGTTTTTGTTACTAGTGACATTCACTTTGCAAGAATGATAAATATATGTACGATATCACCTTTAACATCAAAGGATTTTCCTTGTCCGGATTATAACTGTCTCGCAAATTCTCGCTCAACGAACGCGAAGAATTCCTCTTCCGGTTTGAGGCCATCACTGTCCGTCAAGTATGTTTTACTTGGAAATATAATCTGGCAAAATCAGCAATTAAAGCGTACCATCCAGTTCCAAATCACGTCTATGTGTTGATAGTACATTAGTCTCTGAATACAAAGACATCTTTTCTTTGAAAATATTCAAGTTATCAGTCAACTGGCTGTTTTATTCCACATGTATGTATAGATTCATCAGTCAACGACACATGAAGGCATGTTTACACCTTCAAAATAACGTTGTAGTGTAAAGACAACCGATAATGTTGAGATGTATGTATTCTGAGCCCCACATACAGTATTGTTTCTCCTTTATGTTGGTTAATTTGTTTATATGATTGGAACAGAATTGAATAATCATGGCGGAATAAGTAGTCCATAAGTCGAATTTTGCGAATTATGTCTCCTTTAAACATCGAAACTACGTTTTCCAGCTTTTCTAAGATGTGATCACAAGTGACTAAATCTGTAAAGGCAAATTTTAAGTAAGAAAAAAGAAAATGAACACTCTTTTGTCATATCAACAAGGTCAGATGGTATCACATGGGCTTGTTAAATTCCTAGCAAGAGAAATGTCATTGCAGTTTTCATGTTGTAACAGACCCATCTTGTGATGTGAAGCATTGTGAGTACAGTACGGTCACCAAGATCAAATTTCGTGGACTAGGTTAGGTATTTAGGTATTTGTCTATGCATATGATTGCAATATACAATCTTGTGAAGAATTATTGAAGGGTTAGTGTTTACTTTCTTCAGCATTAATAGTGATGAAGACAATAGATAACCTAGAATCAACACTGGCCAGCATTCTGTGGCTACTTCCTTTTTCTTTCAAAATGTAGGTTGTCATGCATGGGTATGTTCATTTTCTTTATTTTAGTCGATAATATACAATCCTTCCTTTCCCATTTTAAACTGAGATAGTATAGCAAGTCTCTGAAAACAATGTCATGTTCAGCTGTGACAGGAGTCTGTTGGATATTGAATCAGTTTGTAGTTCCATCCATGTTGAAATTTGAACTAACCAGATTTCTTCTGGTTTATGGCCCATTTCTGGTGTCCCACGCCGTGATGTTGCTGGAATATTGCTAAAAGCGGCGTAAAACCAAACTCTGTCAGTCAGTCTTCTGGTTTATGGCATCGTAAAGAACTGTTTACTTACATCTGAAATTTGATTTTTTCAGCTGGCCCAGCACATTAGTGCTGACAGAAATTATTTCACACATCAATTTCAAGTGATGCTCTTTGAGTAAATTTCATGACAAATATATCATCTCAGTTCAAGAATCTAAAAGGGCTTAAATTGAACTGTAAACAGATGGTAGTATTTCAAATGTGTTCTGACCCGTGAAGGTCTGGGTTATACTATTGATCTTCAGTAACCCATGCTTGTCGTAAGAGGCAAGTAACGGGATCGGATGAGACTCGCTGACTTGGTTGACACTAGTGTTGGGAATTGGTTGAAATCTCACAACTGATGATTGATTCATTACCAAGGAACATTTTCCTATCCAGGTTGTTATTGCAGATATGAATAACATGATGCAACTTGCTACTTTAAAGTGATGGCTAATATATCATGAACATAAATTTCCCGGAGTCTTAAGAAATATTCAGTCATGGCTTTTCAGTTAGTGAAGTGAGTTTTCTAAGAATTAAAAACATTTTCAGGCCCTGACACTTCAACGATATGTTCCATTGTCAAGTATTTTAAAGACTAAACAGTAGTTCCAAAATTGTTTATGTTCGATTATGAGAAAATGTGATCGATTGCTTGGTCTTTTGGTCACTGCGACCAATCTTCGATTATTTCAATTAATCGGAACACCACTAGTTGACACATGTCATCGGTTCCCAATTGCGCAGGTCGATGTTGATCACTGGATTGTCTGGTCCAGACTTGATTATTTACAGACCACTATCATATAGATGGAATATTGCTGAGTGAGGCGTAAAACTCAACTCACTCACTCAGATGTGTTCTTCAAACTATTAAACATGTCCATTGGATGAGTGCATCTCCCCTTTTCCTAAAAGGGGCAGTGGGGTAGCCTAGTGGTTAAAGTGTTGGCTCGTCATGCTGAAGTCCCGGGTTTGATGCCACACATAGGTACAATGTGTGAAGGCCTTTTCTGGTGTCCCCTGCCATATTTCTGGAGTATTGCTAAAAGCAGCATAAAACCAAACTCACTCGCTTTTCCTAAAACCTAAGAAATAGTAACTTAAGAAAAGGTGTTAATTTGTACCATGACAATATTTGATTGTTACAATCACATGCATATTGAACCCTTTTTTGCTTTGCAATAACTAAATGTTATATATTCTTGTTTTTCAGAATGTTGATGCCCAAGAAAAACCGCGTGGCTATCTATGAATACCTTTTTAAGGAGGGTGTTATGGTGGCAAAGAAAGATTTCTTTGCTCCTAAACATCCTGATGTTGATGTGCCCAACCTCCATGTCATCAAAGCTTGCACAGTAAGTTTGTCATGTTCATGTGCTATTGTGCCCCCACAGCTGCAATTTTTCCCCATGAGTCTGTGGGATGTCACAGTGACAAAATATTGGTAAATTTGTATTGTTCATGATGCTGTTGTTGGGTTGATGTTTTACTACGATTAACAGGTTAACAATTACAATAATAGTGGATGAAAAGGCAGAATATTATTCTCTGGTACATCAGCAAAGTTCATAGTTAGCATTACCCTGGATAATTGCAGGTCTAAAGTTAATGTTTATCCATGCATAGAGAGAATAACAGTGATTTTATTGTTGTATATCACAATATGTTTGGGTCGTTATGTCAGTGTATAAAATGACAATCAGTGACTCATCTTGGCAATGTAAATCCCATGGAGATCATCCTTGTCTTGCTACTCTTCATGTTCTTGTGGACAAGGCTGTCATCCACAGGTGGGGTAGCTTAGTGGTTAAGGTGTTCGCTTGTCACACCAAATTCCCGAGTTCAATCCCCACATGGGTAGAAAGCCCATTTCTTGTGTCCCCTGCCATGATAATGGTGGAATATTGCTAAAAGCGGCATCACTCACTCAAAACCATACGCTAGACAAAAAGTTTTGATCACCATGGCCACCCTTCAAAATTCATGCTAGTCTACCTTCCCGAAACTGGTTAGTTATCAGAACAACACATAACAGTCCAATGTTGGTATTCCACATAGACTCGCTGCATTTGACACATGTTTGAGAGTAACAGCAAGTTTGCTTGAGGCAAATTTCTCAAAGATATTTCCCTGATTTTATGTTTAGCAGAGTTTTAAAAGACTTTCTTCTGTCATTGCGTCATTGCTTAAAGGATTTTGACAATCAGTGTCATTGAAATTGAAATATGAAGCTCTGTCAAATCATGTTGTGTAATTTTCTTACTAGACATTTGGAGCTTCTTTTTACCATTTTGTCAAGTAGATGTAAAAGCTTATGGGACCATTTAAACAGTATGAAATAAAAAGATATGTCTCTGAGCATGATATATGAAAGACAAAAGTACAGTTTTCAAGAAACATCACATTTCAATATATAATGCACAGTAGTTATTTTAAAGTGTTGTGTATATTTATTGTTACCATTACAGAGCCTAAAATCAAAGGGCTTTGTGCGAGAACAGTTTGCATGGCGCCACTTCTACTGGTACTTGACAAATGAAGGTATCCAGTACCTGAGGGATTTCCTCCACCTGCCAGCAGAGATCGTCCCTGCCACACTGAAACGCCAGACCCGACCAGAGACGGCCAGGCCCAGGCCAAAGGGTATGTTACCAAGTACAAAACCGATGCTTGCAATTAATGCTGTGTTTATTTTGGTTCTACGTGAAGTTTTCAGAATTAAACATCAGATGCAGGGGGTTACAAGTGATTGATGCCCTGTTGAACTGTACAGATTATGGAGACCCAAGTTTCAAATTTTACACAGGATCAGACTTCAAGACACACACACACACCATCTCCGTGGTGTAGTGGTTAGATCGTCCGCCCAGAGAGCGGAAGGTCACAGGTTCGATCCCCAACTGCGTCTTACCAAAGACGTTAAAATATGGTACTTGTTGGTCCCTGCCTTGGTGCTCGGCATTAATGGGTACAACAAGGACTGGTCGGCTCGGAGTCAGTATAATGTGTCTGAGTGGGGTATTCATGTTTCACTGTGGCATGGTATCTAGGTGGGCTAGCACTATAATACCGGCTTCAGTCTGGGCCAGTACAAGCAGATGCACATACACATACACACGCATGCACATAGTCATATGAGTGAAATATTCTCAAGCATGACGTTAAACCCAATTTCACCTCACCTCACCTCACCTCACCTTAAGACACACACACTTAATTTTGATGGCTGTTGTAGCTACATTTTCAGGGCCAACAGATTTGGTAAAATATTTTAACTTTGTCTAACAATTCCTTGTGTTTTCATCGACTATATTACTTCCTGGTGTCAGCTCTTATATCCTGGTATCAGCGCCGCTGCCATATTGCTGGAATATTGCTGAGTGCGGCGTAAAACTAAACTCACTCACTTACCTCATATCAGCTGTTTCTTCCTGAAACCAGCTGTATTTTTGGGTGGTGTTATTTCCTGGTACCGACTGTTATTTTCTTGTAAGGGTTATGATATGTTTGTGTTGTTATTTCCTGACATCAGCTGTGTTAGTTCCAGTTATCTTCATCAATGGCGGTGTTTGTTTCAGCTGCTGAGCCAGGCGGCCGACCTGGAATGGACCGTGACAGGCAGGAGTACAGAAAGGCAGGCCCACCTGGCGCCGGAGACAAGAAGTCTGATGTTGGTGCCGGTGCCACACAAGAGTTCCAATTCAGAGGTGGCTTCGGTCGCGGTCGGGGTGGTCCACCAAGGGAATAGACACTTGTATATGTAATAAACTTCTGGTGGGAATTTTTCTGTTGTGATTTGTTCTACAGAAGGGAAGATGACAATATTTGAGAGATAACTGTGTAGCCTCTCCAGGAGCCCATTGAGTATAGAATAAGGGCAGATACAACTTGATATTTCAATTGTCTTCTACAAGTGTTGCACATTAGTAATAATTTCCAGAGTGATTGGTTTTTAGTAAAAGTGATCAAGTATTAGAGTAGAAAAGTCCTGCAATGGAGCCTTCTTCGGTATTCTTCATGTGCATACCAGTAAATCAGTATCTAATATCTTGCATATGTAACTATAACATATTTGTAGGAGGAAATAATTGCAACAGGCCTTGTCGCTAGTGTTATCCATGTGTATATTGGAAACATGCTGTCATCAAATGAAACTGTCATCTGGACTCGAGTGTGGGCCAATTGTAGGAGCCATGCCAGGATTTGCTCAGGTTATGATGTTTCATCTTCGCTCAGTATTTCGCAGATCGGTGCTCTTGCTGTTGATCACTGGATTGTCTGGTTCACACTCTATTTACAGACCGCCGTCATATAGCTGGAATATTGCTGAGTGCGGCGTAAAACTAAACTCGCTCACTCAGTACCTGTGATTTGTTTCTAACGGGACAAAGGTCTAACACCCATGTCACTTTGGGTTTCCTCACCCCCAAATACCAGCATGCACTGCGATGTCAGAAATGCCGTTAAATATTCATGCGAGTTGTAATCAACCTTCAGTTTAATATGTTTCCAGCATCCCTTTGCTGGTTGTGTGTAGGAACTGAATTACAGACAGACAGTTTTATTTAATATTTCAGGCCATATGACCTAGTACAGTCATATTTATCGACTAAATTGACACCCTTTGAGGAGTTCGAAACAACCGAAGCTGGTGGCAAGAGGCAACCAATTTGATTAGGTGGCCAGGTTCAACAACTTGCTTGATTAAGAGGCAATGTACCCGAATAGCATGTATTGTTGCATGTGACAACTTGACATGCCACTGGATTGAGTAGTCAAATATTTACAGGTTGCTCCCTGCAGAATCAAACGAGTGAGTATGGCTTTACCCATAATGTTCAGGCAATATCCTTGCAGTGAACACAAGAAGGGGCTTTACACATTGTACACATGTGGGGGGGAATCGGTTCTTCAGCATGACTAGTGAATGGGCTATGCTACCACCATCCCCGAGAATGAAACAACACCCCTGAAATCTTAAATTTTGGCAAACATTGTCAGGAACTCGCACAGAGTTTTCTTTAAGAAAATACAAACAACTGGTGGTTGTAAAACTGTCCTTTTATTAAATAAAGCTGCTTTTGAGCTCATGACCAAGGCTATGTCTTGGTGACTCTTAATTCACAACAGCACTTATATAGTTAATATAGAACAATTCTGAAATAAACTCTGCTACACAACCTTGAAATAAAGGATCATGGACCTGTTCCACAAAGGAATCTTAGAGCTAAGGTGATCACAACTCAAGCAATTTAACATCTGCTTATGATAGTCTCAAGATCAATTTGGAGAACTGGATCCATGTAAACACAGATTAATAAGAAGTTTAGTTCATGCACTTTTGAAAACGGGCTTGATTAGGTTATTTGATGTTTCTATTGCCTTATATAATGCCAGGTACAAAATTAGTGAGTTGCCTTAATACAATAAAAAGCCTACATTATACAACAGAAAATGCCCCAAATCAGTCGGTCATACCAAGATGTCCATTACCACTGTATGAAAAATTCATTTTCACTTCCGACTTCTTATTCATTTATTCACCTTTATGTGTTTTATGTTCAAGTTACAAGACATTGCCAATATTATGCATAAATAACATCTATTTTCTTGACAACATGCATACAAGAATAAATATAATTGTTCTTACAGGATTAGAACACCAGGAAAATCTCATTCATTGCATATAAGAGAAAACATTTACAAGGCCTGTTCACACATTAGTGTAAAAATATTCTAAAACGAAGTTAAACCATATCAGATCAATGACATGCCACCATAATCACTTTTCATATTGACCAAAACACATTTCACAATCATTTTTTCATGTCTCTTTCAAGGTAAAAGAGTATTCAGATCACATGACTATAATAGCATACTTTGTGTCTCCTGCTGAGATCAAACCTACATGTGCCAACCTTCTCATGCACATAATTAGAGAATATATCAGATCTTGAGTTGCACTACATACTACTACAATGCCAACAACATCTTAGTTTGATCATAACCCACTCTTACCCAGGTGTACACCAAAATACAAAAGCATTCAATCAGCTTTATCCTAATGCATATTGTTTACAGATTCACATAGCAACACACTGCCCTGAAACATTTGGGCCTGGAGATATAATACTGGGGGTGAAACTACACTAATCCAATGATAGCAAATATACTTTTCTTCACAGATAACTTTACCTTGAAACCTGCACTGTAATTTGTATAGACTATGAGTATCGGTATACCTATCCAATCTTGCTGTATCTTTCTACCCCTAATCGATACTGACCCAGTGAAGAGATCAACTTGCCAGCATGAGGTACAGCAGCAGAGTATCGAGTATCAGTTCTTTGCTTGGTTGTAAAGGAAGGAATCAACAACAAAAGATATGGCCAAGGGGTCCAATAATTCAGGTAGGCAGGTATAAAAATATAATCGTGGTCAATAGAAAGAAAAAGTGATACAACAAATGTTTTGGCTGGATAGGTGACAGTAAATGAGATTTTCATTTTCTTAAACATTCTACTTCTGCTTGGCAACTTAAAAAACATGCTATATATTTTTTGTACTTTTCATTTTATAAACTGGATTTTTTAAAAAGTCCCACTTCAGGATATAACTGTTCTACATGACAAACACCACACGTAATGCTCCTCACACCATCAGACATCTTGAAACATCATTTAATTTATTGCAAAATTACAAATGTCTTAAAGTTAAGCAGTGGCAGGGGCATAGCTACCATTATAAAACCCTGGCTTACACATGAATGTTGCTAAAAAGGTTGGGCAAGTCCTCAATACTATCTAAATAAAAAGCTTTGCAACCTATCGGGCTTCCACGAAATAATTGGCTTCCCACGTGCCTGAGTGGGCAGGAAAGATTATGATCTCATCCTGATTTGCAAAACTGCAGGAGATGAGACCTAAAAATACAGAGTATTCATGTACTGGTAATTTCACACAATAGCTATGCATGAAACATGCTGCCATACATACGCATTCCTTGGGTTATATATCTTATTTTGAATCACAGATAGAGGAACAAACTTAAAAAAGAAAATAAGAGATCACTCAGTGAGCAATTTGAACACACAGCATCAGATTCATGCAGGCAAGGAAAATTGAATTTATTATTGCTCTAAAACACAAATTTGTAATTGTTTTATGCCTTCTGATGAACAAATTGTCCTGTAAATAGTTATTTGAAAATTTGTTTTTTCCTCATATATCAATATTTTCAAATTTCAAAACCAAGAGCTACAATAGTGTAACATATGCATAGGTGGATCCAGAGGGGGGTTGCGCATACACACCTTTTGTCATGAATGGCCATTGAAACTCTCATGACAACGAACTGTGCACCTCTCTGTATCAAAAAGCTGTATCCGCCCCTGCATATGTCCTCCCCTGCATATGTCCTCTTACATGATGAGATTACCCATCAGACTGGTTTCAGAACAATGGTGTATTTGAATACAATTTATGCTTTGTTCAAATTTTATTACCTAATAAAATAATCAAATCTGAAAGACAACCAAATGTGTCTTTATTATGATTAAATGTGAAGAGAGGCTGCCATTTTTTAAGACAGTTCAGATCATTTTAGTAAACATTGTTTCAACAGATATGACATCCAGAACAGTAAATACTTAACATAATAGTAATAATTTTATTTACACCGATGAACAGTACTGAGTATCAATCTTTTATAGGACACATAAAACAGCTATCTGAACCATCGACAAACTGCTTAACTGTTTTGACCGAAAATATTCTTTTCCTTATGCCTGCATGAACCACATGGCAATATGCCTGGAATGAAGGAAGTTAAAAAGATGGGAAGATAAAAACATCTGCGAAGCCATCCCTTGCTGCAACAATTTCTTCATAATGAATTTGTTCAGGAACATTGTAATGAAACAAAACCTGCAACAATACATAAACATATATTTTAACATAAACAATATTATTTTCTCAATACATAGTTTAAACTGTGCTTACATGATATTTACATATCATAACAGGAATATTGAAACATAGTTTTTCCGTTACTCAAAATATATAGAAATATACATTATAAATCAATTTTTGAAATATATATATAGATATGTTAAGATTACACAAGAGTATCACCAGGATCATCACAATTCTCCTGTAAAAGTTAAGCTAAGATGGTGTATATATCATAGCACCTACATGGACATTCAATAGAAGCACCACAGTTTAATATACCTATGTTGTAGGTAGATGTGTACAGACAAAAATAGCTCTCAATGCTTAGGTCGGCAGCTGCACACCTTAGAAAATACTGTACAATTTGTTCAGGTAAATATATGCTGCAAACAAAACCATTCAATAAACAAGGTATATATAACTGTGACTTAAAGATAAGGGTAGAAGGCACAGAAAGCCACACATAGAGTATCAGGGAATCCCAGAATAGATCTTGGCTCAAATCAGATCTTGTGGATGCACATCTCGAGATTGTTTTCCTGTTCACCAATAGATGAACACAAGTTATGGAGGGAACTTGATATGCAGACTTGACATACTTCACAGGTTTGTACACACTATGTTCCTCGATCACCCAGGTAATTTGTTGTATAGCCACTGTATTCAACCATCCAGTCAAGTCACAGGAATTTTGTTAATGATCACCATCCATGTAACCTACTAAAAGACTTGTCTCCCTATCAATGAGTGAGTGAGTTTAGTTTTAAGCCGCTTTTAGCAATATTCTAGCGATATCATGGCAGAGGACACAAGAAATGGGTTTCACACATTATACCCATGTGGGGAACTGATCCTATCAAAGTTACATGCGAAAATACGACAAACTGTATACATTGCTTCCTCAGACAACAGTAGGCTTCACACAGTATTCAGGCACAGATATGGGATCACTTCCCTATGTTATAAAGCGCTTCGCTTCCTTCAGCTTAATCCAAATGGTCACACCATTACCCTACACATTGGCCGCATATACTCAAGGGTGATAGAACAACATATATGAAGTATTGACTGAGGACAAAAGGCTGCAATATAGCATATCAGTATTAGGTCAGTAAAAAGTTATGATACAGACACAGACACATTATGTCTGGTTCTGACTTAAGAACATCAAACTCAGAAACAACAGAAGTTCTGTAAAGAATCCATACAAATATAAAAAATGATTTAAAAAGTTTGAAATAAGAAACATAGTTCAAGATAAAGTGGGTGATTTTACAACAAAGAAAAAATTCATTTGCAGAAGCAGCAAATAACCTCCCAATATTTCATAAAAAAGACATGAACACATGGAAAATTATTTCAACAAATATGAACATAGCACACAATACACAGCATCCAAATAGCAACCACAGAGTTGACACTGGGAACAGTACAAATTATCATAATCCTACTGAACAGACATTCACATAATGAGCGTGTAGTTGACCCACAACTTACTTTTGAGGATTTCATATCAATTCCTGAGTATACTGTTAGAACAAATTAACCATTAATCATCAAAGTTAGACTACTGTCCTAAAAATGTTGATTCATAATGTTCCAAGTAGTACCATTAGATTACAAAATGCAATCACTGAGTACAACATACATCTGAGTATATTGAAAGACAGAGTATTCTGAACTCTCCACTTATTTACAATATTGTACACTACAATATTATCAGGAAGAAAATGGATCGTAAAGACTAAAACATTTTCACAAGTCATAATTTCAAAATTTAAAATCCTCCAATACCATTTCGACTATCTATTACAAGACAAATTCCTTTGTAAATCAACTCTTCAAAATTTATTGCCTAACCTCTGTATGATGCTGTACATACAGATGTAGCAGCTTATTGCAATAACAACATTGACATCACCTGCCTCAACATTCACTATCCATGATATGATTAAGCTGTTAGAATTTATCGCCACCAGTGCCTGCAAAATAACTGTAGTGGTGTTGCCCAACATTCACTTACTCACTCTCCTCAGAAACCTTCCTTCCAATGAACACAAGATATAAGAGATATTTTTGTTCATCCACGCAATGCTCAGATCTTGTTCATAATATAACAGATCAATAGATACAATAACTTCTGTAAAAACAATGAATAACAGAACAAAAGAAGCTATATGCATATGACAAAAATACTTAACATTGTGATGAAGCTTATTGCTGCAATTTTTACTGTCCTTGAGGTGCTTCGTAAGAAGCTTGTTCTATTAGATTTTGACCAAGTGGCACATCATACAGCAACATAACTTGTCTGATGAAACAAAGACTGACAATTTATGAAGGCAACAGTTATGGTTTCAATAAGGAAGGGAGACTACTCTTGCAGGCAAGATAGCAATGTTAATAATACTTAACATGCACACACAATTAAGAATGTTTTCACTGAGAAAACATCGGGCAACAACTGATTCCCAGTTTATGTTAGTGAAGCATGGGACACACAATCCTGTTAAAGTATTGGTTAGTACACCTCAGTATGGAGATATCACTAGAAGTACGTCCACTGAGAGCTGCTGGTCTTCAGACAGAACTGGGTTTGTGGACAAATCTGAGGATGAGGTAGCCAAGCAGCCGGAACAAACAGATGAAGAAGATGAGGGGAAAGACATAGACCCAGTAGGATGGCTGCACTTCATAGAAGGACAAGACTTGGTAGTTGGTGACGGACGTTTCATTGGTAGTCAGGCAGCTGCTGAACTGGGAGGCCCCAGTGGTGGTTGCACATCTGGAACAGACAGATTAGATCACAATAATGTGCTGTTTCCACAATTGGAACAGAAGGATTTGATCACAATACTGTGCTGTTTCCACAATTTGAACAGAAGGATTTGATCACAATACAGAGCTGTTTCCACAATTGGAACAGAAGGATTTGATCACAATACTGTGCTGTTTTCACAATTGGAACAGAAGGATTTGATCACAATACAGAGCTGTTTTCACAATTGGAACAGAAGGATTTGATCACAATACAGTAGCTGTTTTCACAATTGGAACAGAAGGATTTGATACAAAACTGAGCTGTTTCCCCCAGTGGAATATGATTAAAAGACAGCTGTTTGCACAATTCGAAGAGAAGGATTATAATTACAAGACTGTGCTGTTTGTACTGGAGTTCCGAGTGATTGAAATAATTGAAGATTGATCGCAGTGACAAAATGACCAACCAAACATGTTTTTTCTTTATTATTATGTGCATTAACAACCATAACAGGACATTTTGATAAATGACACTAACCAATTATTTTCAATGACTGAAAGATTTTAATGAACCAATCATCAATTATGAGATTTTAAAAATTCCCAACACTCGCTGTTTGTATGTCTGTAACAAGAGCATTTCCCCAGTTCTACAACTCCAAGACCATGACACTTACAAATTCAACATTTCATCTCCACTGAACCAAAGACACTTACTGTACAGTTTTATCTCCGGAGAACTCCAGCACCATGAGGCAGTGGAAGGTGTAGTGCAGGAAGGAGAAGTACTTGATCCAGTCCAACCAGAAGGGAAGATGGCGTGTGTAGAAGCCACCTGGGGTAATTTAAGGAAAGTCAATGAATTATTCTGGCCTTCCAAATGGTTAAGTTACAAAAACCATAAATAATAATAATCAGAAGAAGAAGAATATTTATAACGTGCCTTGTCAGGCTTCATATCCTGCTCAAAGCGCATAATCTGATTAGCATTACCCCAGATAACTCAAGCCCTCCTGTGAGGCGCTAGAAAGTTAATAGTCACATGACTTATCCCACCGTGTATCAAATTTCTGCTGGGTGAAATATTGTAATGAAACCTATCACACATGATCAGCTGACTGACAAGAAGTCAGATCTTACTGAAGACTGATCAGAGCAAAAGATCTGATTGGCATTCCAGATTGACATTTAAGACTGGCCTTTAGGTTAAGCCTTAAGCCTAGTCTTCAAAGCAGGTAAGAGTGAGTGAGTGAGTATGGTTTTACGCTGCTTTTAGCAATATTCCAACAATATCACGGTGGGGACACCAGAAATGGGATTCATACATTGTACCCATGTGGGGAATTGCCCCTCAAAGCAGGTAAGAAGAAGTGAGTACACCTACCAAGCAGCATAATAGCCATCATAACAAGGGTCACAATGGACATAGCCTTCTGAAAGTCCATGAACACAATCCCCAGGAACAAACCAATACTCTGCAAAGCAATTAATGCATCCATGTCAAATGAAACAAAACAATAGTAAAACATACATGTATAACACAAGAATTCTGCCACATCATTGCAACAGATAATAAAAATTTAGGAATGATTGGTTCCAACGTGTCAATGCACACATTCAGAAATGTGTTCACCTTAATCCAAAAATAGGAGCGCATTAGCTGTCAACATGTACAGGTATTAAAAAAATATCTCTATATTGAGATAATATCGCAATTCTGGACATTGTAAAAATGTGTTAAAACATATTTGTGACTTTTATAAAAGTCAGAAAGGTCTAAAAGTGTCTGACAAAATGGCTGATTCTGTATCACAGCAGGCTTTCTCACTTGTCAGTTGTAACATAGCTTGATTGACAGATGGTGTGACTACACACAATGCCATTCAGAATGTGGTCAAATGTAACATGTTATATTAGGGATTACACAGTAAGGAACAGATTTAAGTATGTTTTGGGGGTTGAGTCCCATCTGGGATTTGATGAGGCATAACAATATACACTTTTCAGAAGGGGACACAAAGTATGTGATCTAGACTACCAGTTGTCAAACTTCCAGTTTTTGAGGAAGCTGCGGTCAGGGTTAAATTGTGTGCTGGCAATTAGGTACCTGACTCTGAAAGTGTATGACCATGTGCATGATCCTGACAAACCAACATACATAATTAGAGCCATATCAGATTCAAAACCCACGATCACAGGATACTGACACAGTAAAGGGACCTAACTCTGCAAAGTAAGTGGAGTGACTTAGATGACTGCTTCATCCTTTCCTGAACTCAAGGTAGACCTACCTGGCCACAGATGGCCCCCAGCATGACGGTGAAGATCGTCCCGAAGAACGGCCCAGCTCCGTTCAGTCCAATGCACCAGTATGATATGATGATGAAGGCTGTGGGCAGGAGAAGGATAAGAGGCAGCTCGCTGGTCATCTTGGCAAAGTAGTACGCTGAGAGTCGGTACCAGCCTGCAGAGCGCTCCTTCTGGATTACAACCCTCTCACTGGGGACTGTCAGACAAACAACACGAGATATAGCTTCAATATTGGAGACTGTCAGGTTACTACATGCCATACACCATCACAACCATTACAGTCTGTACTGTCGGACAAACACAAGATATAAATTCACACACCCTCAGTGTTTGGACAAACACAGATCATCAAACATAACAACACAATCAGCGTTCAAAATTAACATCGGTCCTTAAGCCCCGAAGCCGACTGAAAACTACTGGGACTCACAGCTTTTGTTTTCTGCAGGTCCTTATGGCCGACAGCTTTTCCATCCCCAATAAGAGTATGTATTATTTCCATAATAAAATATAGGGCCTACACATTCTGACCAGGACCCACAACTTTTTATGGTTCTGGGTCCTTAGGGTCTGCAGCTTTTCAGGGTTAAGGGCAAACACTAAACACAATCATCACTGAGGTCAGATAAGGCACACATAAAATATGCTCATGATACTCTTTGTGGACAGACAGACAATATGACAAATATCTACACAACAGTCCCAGAAGTCAGACAAACAACATGATAAAGTACTCACATGTTGATACAGCATCAAACAGTGGTGTGAAGCTCCAATGGAGTGCGATGAAAAATATCTGTAAACATAATTTATACACACTATAAGGTACCTAAGATATTGTGTCCCAAATGCTAAATGATGGTCTTAAGATGATACAATACTGGGTACACTGATTTCAAATCATACCAGTCATATTTAAAGATTTTCTAAATAAGAAACCATCCTTCTCCCACTCCCCACTCATCCTTCTAACATTGTTACTTTCACTGCTATATCGATGGAACACTACCCAATCCCATCTTTCTAACACACTGTCAACTTTCCATCCTTTTAACACTCCCCACTCACATCCTTCTAAATCTCCCCCACCAATCCTTCTAACACTCCCCAATCCCATCTTTCTAACACACTGCTCCCATCCTTCTAACACTCCCCACTCACTCCTTACACACTGTTCAAATACTTCTAACATTCCCTATGCACATCCTTCTAACACTGTACCCTTCCTTCTAACACTCCTCTCTCCCATCCATTTTCACACTGCTGGCATCCTTCTAACGCTCCCCACTCACAACTCTCTACGCTCACATCCTTTTACACTGCTTGCATCCTTTAACACTCCCTAATCATCCATCCCCTAAAACCCTCTCCACTCACATCCTTTTCACACTGCTTGCATCCTTTAACACTCCCCGATCACATCCCTAAAACCCTCTCCACTCACATCCTTTTCACACTGCTTGCATCCTTTAACACTCCCCGATCACATCCCTAAAACCCTCTCCACTCACATCCTTTTCACACTGCTTGCATCCTTTTCACACTCCCCGATCACATCCTAAAACACATCCTTTTCACACTGCTTGCATCCTTTTCAACCACTGCTTGCCCTTTAATCACATCCCTAAAACCCTCTCCACTCACCTTTTACACTGCTTGCATCCTTTAACTCCCGATCACACATCCCTAAAACCCTCTCCACTCACATCCTTTTCTTGCTTGCTTCCTTTAACACTGCCAGATCACCGGTCACATCCCTAAAACCCTCTCCACTCACATCCTTTTCACACTGCTGGCATCCTTCTTACTCTCGCCACTCACATCCTTCTAAGAGTGCTCCCATCCTTCTGAACCTCCATGTTCCTATCTCTCCAAATCTCGCCTCTATATTCCTTCACATCTGTGTATGGCTCACTGCTCTCCTCCTTATAACACTCACCACTCCCATCCTGTCTCTCAGTGTCTCTTCATTTCGGGGAAGCTGGAACCACAACAGACTGACCAACACACAGAGAAGCAATGCCTCAAGCAGACGCAGTTTGTTGAGGATCCGTGACTTGGAGTTCTTGAAGGTCCGCACTGTGAGCTGTTTGAACTGAGTGAAGAACCCAGTCGGCCACTTGTCCTTATCCTCCTTCAGGTTGAGCATGTCAACACTACCAGTCTCAGAAGCTGCAGTGTGAGTGAGTGAGTTGAATTTAATGCAACTTTAGACATTGTTCCAGGCATGTCATCTTTAAAAGGCTCAGTGTCAAGTAGGAAGAAAAATATTTCCGTATTCATGATTATTCTCAAATTTCAGTAGCGATTTTGAACACTGAATCGTTCTTCTGATTACAAGTTTGAGTGAGTGAGTGTGTCTCAGGCAGTAATATTCCATTCATATTGCTGTGACTTGATAGGATGACAGATCATCTGTGTATGTTTACACATCAGTTATTTTCTCTGATCAGCATTTGAGTCAGTTTTTTATGACAAGAAAGGAATGCAAAGATGGTTTGATGATTAATGACACACTCAGCAATATTGTGGCTATATCAGAGTATGAAATCAAGCCTGTCCGATCGCCCGAGACTTTCTGATGGACAGTCTAAATTTACAGCCAGTCTGATGTTCTGGTAGAATATTTAGATGTTCCATACATCTGAGTAAATTCACCATATCTTGGTGTCTGATATGGTTAAATCCATTTTTGGCTGGTATCATTTTGAAGTTACCAGCCCTGATGTTGGGCTGGGTTTGGGGCTTATTTCATACACTGGCTATATGCAGAAAATCGTCTGATTGTTCCACTGTGCAGCACACCATAAACTCAGGCTACATCCAAGCCTGACATCAGCTGCTAGTACAACCAATACACATTGTTGTGGACCAATTCTATCCCAGAATCAACAAAGGACCCTAAAAGGGCAGATGATAACAGACAGTGATAACACAAGAAGCAAGTGCTACACACCCAACAAACATCAACACCTGGTCCAGAGCTCATATGAAAAGCATTATCAATTTCATATATCATGAAATGAGATTCTTTACCTTCAATATCTGGCTGAAATTTGGCATCAGTTCTTCGCAGTCGCTTGCTGACTTTCCTGTAGATGGGGCTGTGTGTGAGATACTTGAGGCTGGGTTTGAAGGACCGACGGATGGTGGTCAGAGGGGTGCGATCATCATTCAAACCAGGATCAGTGTTACCTCTCAAAACTAATGGCCAATTGTCTGTTCCTCTGAAAACCGATAATTATCAAAGCTAAATTTTCATATTAAGGTGTGAAGGAGGAGTCAGAAGTGACCAGTAATACCAGCAACAGGTTGAGTTAATGATACCAAGTCTTTTATTACTGCATGTACACAGGAAGAAGTTGGAACAGCTTCTACAGGTGTATCATGTACCATTCACGTAGTGGCCGAACGAGATTCGTATCACTAAATACAGGCAGGAGGTGGTTGGAACAGCCTCTACAGGTGTATCATGTACCATTCATGTAGTGGCCGAACTAGACTCCTATCATTAAATACAGGCAGGAGGTGGTTGGAACAGCCTCTCCAGGTGTATCATGTACCATTCATGTAGTTGCCGAACTAGACTCCTATCATTAAATACAGGCAGGAGGTGGTTGGAACAGCCTCTCCAGGTGTATCATGTACCATTCATGTAGTTGCCGAACTAGACTCCTATCATTTAATACAGGCAGGAGGTGGTTGGAACAGCCTCTACAGGTATATCATGTACCATTCATGTAGTTGCCGAACTAGACTCCTATCATTTAATACAGGCAGGAGGTGGTTGGAACAGCCGCTACAAGTATATCATGTACCTGATGGCATCAGCTGCATCAACTATCTTCCTCCTAGTCTTCTCATCTTCTCGCAACTTCTCCACTGCAAATCATATTAGCTTTATGTTAATAATGATAAGATACAATTATATAAATCCATGTTTGATGCATATCTCGACAAAAAGTATACTGGGGGCATATCACAATACTCAAGTCAAGTTATGTTACACGCCTCAAAAGATAATCTACAATGTTTTTGCATGTACTTCTCTACATTCAACCTGGTCCAGCTGACAAGATGTCAAATCCCCACTGTATACTATACACATCCTCATCCATTCTTTCATGACCTGAGAGCAACCAGCAATACTGGACTATACCATTCATTGCATAACAAGTTACAGGTGTCAACAGTAGGACATACAGGACTATACAAGATGAATGGACTTGTCCACCACAACGCCAATGGTAAAAGTTGGTGTGCACAAACAATCAGTGTCTAAAATCTTGTACATCAATCCACTGGCACATTTGTACTTTATACAGCTTACTTAGATGTATTTGTAGAAACTAAGAGTGGGACAACATGAGGTATAGTTTCCAAATGCCACTGATGATAACTCAGTTTTCAAACAGAGGCAACTTTGAACTTGGAAACAAGAGGTATCACATCAAACTCTTGGCCTCATCATGACACCTTGATTCATTTACAGATTGACCACAAGACTTGTACTGGTTTATATAGAATAGTGACTTACCAATCAGATGGACATTACAATCATCTGTATTCCTTATCTGTAACTCCTAATGGATCTACTCCTTCACAAATTCTCACAGGCAATAAGATTGTAATGATGTTCATTCCTTCCATCTGTACTCCCTCTTCCACTGGATCTACAAACATTCTGACATAACTATGGCTTGGTGGTACTTCAACTGCCCCATCTCACCTATGAAGTCTGCTGGGTTGTAGTGTTCTGCCATGGGCATGCCGATATCTTTGAAGAAGGTCATCACATTTTCAGAGTCTCCAAAATAGGCAAGCTTAAAACATATAACAATAGATTGTGCCCTGTCAAATATGTTGTCAACAAAGACAGCCTATAAAGCATGTAAATCAAAATCATTTTAATGAAAAGGAAGAAATGGCAAAAACAAAAATCACCATAATCTTAAACTGATTCAATGTATCATTGGAAGAACTGATGGTGACTGATCCACGATCCAGTTTCACAAAGCGATAGCTGTGCAATGGAATGAAATATTTGAGTAGGTCTACAAACAACTAAGTGTGGACCTCTTTCATTTCACCTAAGCTGCCATATAGCTGGAATACTGCTGAGTGCGGAGTAAAACTAAACTCACTCACTCACTCATTTCACCTAAACAAAGAACTAAATGTGATTCTCTTAAGTATGTAAATAAAATGAATGAAAGAGCTAGATAAATATCTAATTGACTCCAACTGCAATCGATGGCCTCTATACCCTAAGGCAATCAAATACTAATTCCCTAGTCTATGTTTTCCACCATCCTGAACCAGCCAACAGCCTCACACTTCATAAGCAGTCATAACCACACACCGGTGCACCCTATATACATTGGGTGCATTCTGGCAAGCAGTTCTACAATAAACAACAATAAGCCCCGGAACAGCAATCTTAGAGTAGAGACAACTCTCAATACATACATGTTTGACAGTTATAGCACTAAGACGGCTTTGTAGGGCAGGGCATTACTAATATGAAAAGACCACAATATTCTGTGTAATAGGGAGTGTAGTGTAATCACCTCTCCCTCCGACATGAGCAGCAACTTGTCAAACTGGTAGAACATCTGGCTGGAAGGTTGATGCAGTGTTGTGATGACCATCTTGTTGCGTTCTGTTGTATATTGCTTCAATGTCTTCACCAGGCTCAAGGCGATGCTGTAGTCCAGCCCGGATGTAGGCTCCTGTCAAATACATACCTGGTTGGTGATTGCATCAAACATGGCTCACCTCATACAAGGGTCATCATAAGATGTCAAATATCAGTCCCCAACAATTTTGAAAGAACAAATCATCAGGATCAAATGCACAAAACTATCTTAGTGCTAAGGCGATAGTAACTCCCATACTTTAACATATTCTTAAGGTCATCATAGCACTAAATCACTTTGTGCAAGTAGATCCTGACTGTTACAACAAGTCCAACCAGAGTGATCTGTCCAACTTGACGAGAGTACTCTTGTCTAATCGATCTGTCCATACACAAGAATAGTTACTGATCTATTCATATAATATCATGGAATTGACATTCATACTACTGTATTTGTAACTATGGGCCTATTTGTATGCCACAAAATTGGTACATTTGATTAATCCAGTTGAATGGAAACAGATGTAATAAAAATTCTAAAAGATACTCAACCGCAAACAGCACCAGATGACAACCTAGCCTTTGTATGTGCAAAAATTCATAAAAGAAAACCTATTAGCTTTAGAGACATGGTCCAGACTACTACACAATTATCGAAACAGTCATTATCAAATTATGCCATGGAAACAGAAAGAGCAAAAATTTAAGAATTCCTTATAAAATAGGTAAAAATAACATTCAATATCTGACCAGAATTCTGTGAGCACCTTTGAGGCTACACAGAGAGGTTTATTCATACAAGGTTTTAGCTCCAGGAAAATGTTGAAAACATACAAGTTAACAATGGACATATAACCAGACAGACAATTTTATGGGCCCCTGGACAACGAACATGAACCACAACATAAGCTCAGATGACTAGTTTCAGTCAGGTAAAAAGACTTGACTGGTCCAAATACTCACATCTAGAAGGATGATGGCTGGATCTGTAATAAGTTCACAAGCAATGTTTGCTCTCTTCTTCTCTCCCCCAGACAAGCCTCGCACCAGAGCATCACCAATAACTGCAAAAAAGGAATTTCTTGTAGTGATGTGTAATTTCATTATTTGGTCACATTTCTTGTTGCTTCATGCGCCAGTCAGCAATATTCCACTCTAAGTGAGTGAGTGAGCATGGTTTTACGCCGCTTTAAGCAATATTCCAGCAATATCACTGCAAGGGGCCTGCATTAACCTTCCACTCAAAGAGCCTGACCAGTCATTACAGGTATCATGGTTAAGGGTATCCAGGATTGAAAACGAGGAGGAAGCATTTTGGGAAAAATATATTTCTTCATTCAAAATTTGGGTTGTATTGATTTTTTTAAATAAGTCAATTACAACACTGTATTTTCACCAATGTCGAAGCTGACAAAATAACCATTAAATCCAGTCTACAAAATCATGAATTTAGTCATTCTTCATTGGGAATATAACTGACTGACTGACTGACTGACTGAGTTTGGTTTTAGCAATATTCCAGCAACATCACGGCAGGGAACACCAGAAATGGGCTTCACACATTGTACCCATGTGGGGATTCAAACCCGGGTCTTCGGCGTGACGAGCCAACACTTTAACCACTAGGCTACCCCACCGCCCCGGGAATATAACTATTGGATCATGGGAGGTACATTTCAGTCACATTACTTTTATTTAGTAAATATATGTCAGCTAACAGCCCTGTGCATAGATGCAACATTTTGGAAAAGTGGGTCACCTCACAATTCAGAAAACTGTTTGAGTTTGTTAATCCCCAAAGAAAACATGTCACCAAATGATTTAGTACAAGTTATATTTATGGGTGCCATTGTACAAAACAGCCTTAGTGCTGAGACTGTTGTAAGACAATGTAAAGGTTTGGGAGTTATGATCACCTTAATGAAAGATTGCTTCTTACAACTGCAAGAATGTACCCCTGGAGATGAGGTGAGGTGAAATTGGGTTTTACGTCGTGCTTGAGAATATTTCGCTCATGTGACGACGTGCATGCGTGTGTATGTGTATGTGTATGTGCGGCTGCTTGTACTAGCCCAGACTGAAGCTGGTTTTATAGTGCTAGCCCACTGAGATACCATGCCGCAGTGAAGCAAGAATACCCCACTCAGACACATTATACTGACTCCGAGCCAACCAGTCCTTGTTGTACCCATTAATGCCGAGCACCAGGCAGGGACCAACAAGTACCATATTTTAAGGTCTTTTGGTATGACGTGGTCGGGGATCGAACCCACGACCTTCCGCTCTCTGGGCGGACGCTCTAACCATTACACCACAGAGGCGGTCATGTACCCCTGGAGGAGAAGTTCTTTTTACTTTTACAGTGATATACCAACAAGTACATGTTACATTTTATCTTGTCCTATTAATGTCCTTAACATTTGTAGATAACACTGCAACTGATTTCCTTTACACAATCATTAACTTACCATTCACACTAGGAAATCCAAATATATAGCATACATCATCACATAAAAATTACAGTGTGTTGTTGCAATGGCTACAACTGTAATATCTTTTGAATCTCTCTGTGACTGTCAAGTAACTGAAGAAATCGCATTCTGGCCTTTCAGTTGTCAGACTTCCATTTTTGTGGAAGCACGGTGGCTGAGTGGATTAGACCGCTTCCTTTGTGTGCTGGCGATTAGGTGCCTCACACTGAGAGTGTAGGTTCAAATCCTGGATGTGACTCCATCCCAAAAAGAACTAAAATCTGTACTTCTCTGACAAAGTGTAATCCCATACATATCATATTGATACGGGCGTTGATACAGGTTAAGGTATAGATTCCCCACAAAAGTGTTATAACTGGAATAAAGAAAACACAGTCAGTCAGGTCTGGTTAAGGTATAGGGACCAAAGTTATAACTGGTAAAGAAACACAAGGCCTGCTCCCTGTGCCAGCATAGCACATAATTCAGAAAATATTTTGTGTCAGACAAAACAAATGCAAACATGTCACATTCACTTGAAATGGTTGTATGCTGGTTTCAAGGCAAATTGCACATATTTGTCCTGGCCCTTCTCCTGTATTTGTGTGACCCTACCCTGATTCCTTAGCTTACCCCTATGATAGAAACAGGGATGAGAATGACGTTTTGAGAAAAACTCTGAAAACTAGACGGGGGTCTGGTGGCTGCAGGCTTTGACAATTCACAAAAATAACCCTTGGCCTTATGAAATTCCCGGAATTCCCCGAATCCGCAGAACATTCTCATCCCTGTAGAAAACAGTTTGTTCAAGCATGTCACCTTGACATAGGCTGCTAAGTTTTTTTTCATGTGTCAAATATCAACAGCATTTCCTGGAAACCTTTCATCATTATGAAACATGATCTTCCAAGAAAATGTGAGTCAAACTCATGTGCACAGAGTGTATCTACCATAATGACCTTTTAATCACTTGACACAAAGAAACGCCCTTACTTAGCCCCCTTATTTCAGGTTCTAAAATTCACTGTATACACAGCGATATACAGTATATTTATAACAAGCTTAACAGTGACAAGGAGTGGAAGCAAGGGGACTCTATATTCAATAAGCAGGACAGATTGATACAATCAATACGCCATTAACAGAAATTCATGAACTATCACTTATTTCAGCTTTTATGTTTGTGCTTTATTTAAAACATATTTTCATACACACACAACAATTAACTGCTGAAAGTTTTTAATGATCATTATATCACTTATGGTATCATAACATACCAGTACACTCCCAGTATCCATGCTCAAACTTGCACAGCTCGTGACGAGGAAATTACGTTATCTTCTAAAATATTGTTCCCACAATACCTAAGGTCACCTGTTTGCAACAGCCAATGAATAGATGCCAATACAATGCGGTATCTCTGCAACGTGGCGTATTCCTTTTGGTTGCCCATCCCACATGTGTAAAAATGACAATATATAATCACATGCGCTCAACACATCCAACAAAAGTATTTCTTGTGGAGATAATGATGGCAAACTACCTGGATGTCCTAAGAGGAAAGTATCAGAAGTGTCTGGAAATACCACTTCAATGTCGGTACATTGCCCAGAGAGGACTTCTAGCAACTGGCACACCATATCATGTGTTTGAGGTTAACATGGAAGCATCGGATGAAGACACATATGCTCTTCTTCAGGAAATTACAGCCTTAAACGATGCAACTGGAGGACTGAAGGTTTGGAAGGCCATTACATATGACGCTTATCCAGCTGAAGGAGGCAATCTGCGACTTAGGCTGTGGTTACATTTAGTCACAATGCTACCTTCGCCAGGCTGTCCACTGATCGAATTAGATGATTATACAATAACACTGAAAAGTGTTGTTATTCAGGAAATCAACCCAAATGTTCAAGGTTACACTCATAGGAGCTTAATTGTTGGTGATTGTGTCCAGATCTGAAGAATCTGTAATTACACAAACATCACTCCTGGCTTCAGGACAGCCTCCTTGGAATATATAACATTCCTGCTGGAGACCTACAACAATGGCTACAGAATACAGTGTTTCATCAGCAGCTAAAGATGACTATCCCAAAGCGGTATCTATGTTTCATCATGAATTAAAGTGACTATCCCGGAATTTTATCATGTTTCATAATGAACTAGATGTGACGGTCAAGGCAGTATGTGAAGCAGTGACAATTTTCATGTTTATAAAAAGTCAGTTTGATTTATTTGTATAGCACTATTTCAGAATTATTGGATATAAAAGGGTGTTTTTAGTTAAGATTATTTGAGCAAAATGTGTTATTTGGCAGTTTATTATCTCTCTTTGTGTCACAACCAATGTTGTGCATACATTTTCATGTGATCTCCCTTGGCGTAGTGACAACTTAGAATGTTGTTCAACAATTTACACGTGTAATTGTTGGACCACAGAACCAATACCTTTTGTAACTAACTAATCAGGATACATGTGTAAATCTTTAAGTAATGTGCAACCATTTCTAAGACCATCATGTATTATTTCAGGACTTGTATTTCTTGATTTGAATAAACCGCACCGCACCTCACCTCTACAGCGAGTCATGTGATTACTTGGCGACAAACCAGCTGTAACAGTATGTATCCATGTTTCATCATGAACTAGACATGACTGTCAAGGTAGTATGTATCCATGTTTCATCACTAACTAGAGATGACTGTCAAGGTAGTATGTATCCATGTTTCATCATGAACTAGACATGACTGTCAAGGCAGTATGTATCCATGTTTCATCACTAACTAGAGATGACTGTCGAGGTAGTTTATCTATGTTTCATCAGAGGCTAGACATGTCTATCCAGGTAGTATAAGGCCATCTCTAGCAAATTATATGGCTGCCTTAATCATGTCAATGTGCTGTTAACAGAACAGCACAATTTGATTTACTCATATAAGTTAGTTGATCAAAATTAGTAAATGGGAGGCATTTTCTAGGGAAAATTACTTCAAATCCTCTTATGTCATAATGTCAAAAGGGTGAATAGTAGTCAAGTAGTGATAGGTTGAACTACTAGCTGCAGTCAAGTTTCTCTCACTCACGCACGCATGCACGCACGCACGCATACACACACACCACACAAATACTTGTATAGCACTTCGGCTCTAAGATGGTATTGATATCACATAGAGTTCAAATGCTTCAGTAGAGAGACAAGTCTTTAGATTCGATTTAAAAACAGCTAAATCTGGTTGTGTTCTGAGGTGAGATGGAAGATTGTTCCAGAGATGAGGGCCAGCCGCCTAGAATGACCTGTCACCATATGTTTTTGCTCTTGTCAAAAGACACTGGTCATTTGATCGGAGGGAATGTGCAGGAGTATAATGGTGGAACAGATCACTGAGGTAGTGAGGAGCTAGACTGTGGATACTTTTGAAAACAAGGAGTGGAGTTTTATATTTTATCTGGTACTGGACGGGAAGCCAATGAAGTGAGTGAATAACGGGAGTAATGTGGTCCAATTTCTTTGACTGAGAGATCACTCTGGCTGCGGTACGAGTTTGGTGAAAATCTGTTTCTCTAGTATTTGAACATGTTGAAAGGAAAAGATTCATATATACATGATATACACATCTTTGTGTTTGTATTCGTGGCCCCAAAAATAAGGGAACCCCAACACTGATATTTTCAGACTTGATATGACAGTGTGAGTTTACATCTCAACTGTTCTAAGACCTGAACTCCAAGCCCAGAGCTATGAAACACATTGAATACTGTCTTCTTAAATGCTTTCAAATCACTAGCGCACATGCACTACATGTATGGAAGGCTACTTAAGGCAAGATATGCAGGTGAGTGTCACAACACACAAAATGCCACCGCGACAGTTTTTAACACTAGCTAAAATATGGCAATGTATAGGAATGTTGCAGTCCGGAAAAACCCAGAATCAAGTAAATAGGTTTTTTCAGGAAGTCAAAGAACATTATCTCCCGGCTTGCTGCTCTACACCATCAGAATGGTGACGTAAAAATGAGGAGGTGTCATGGATGCCATCGGAAGACTAACGCCAGACAAGACCGCCTCTCTTGCGCATTATTGCACTTCATAACCGGTTCATTACTGTGCCTGAACTGAAGCGAGCGTCCCTTGCTGCGACTGGGTTCCGACTTTCCTACAGCACAGTACGTCACAGACTCTGTGAGGCTGGAATGAAAGCAGGCGTCCTTTTCATGGCGTTATCATGTCACAGGCCCACAGACGGGCTCGTCTACAGTGGTATCAACATCAGGGCTGGCCTAAACGTCAATGGCGTCAAGTCATGTCCTTTGATGAGTCCAGGTTCTGTTTATGATTCACTGATGGCCACAACGTGTATGGCGCCGATGTGGGGAGAGATACAGTTGTAACACTATCACAGAGCATGATTCCTTCGGTGGAGGGAGTGTTATGGTCCTCTGAGGTGTTTCCTATGATAGGAGGATGGATGTTCTTGTTCCGGGTAACCTGACAGGACAGCGCTACGCCAACGAAATCTTGCGCCCTGTTGTTGCTCCTATGGCCCTCAGGGAAGGACGTAACGTATCTTTCAAAATGATAACGCAAGACCCCATAGGGCTCGTGTTGCGGTTGACTTTCTCAGACAACAAGGCATTGTGACACTTCCGTGGCCTGCCAATTTTTTTTATTCTCCAGACCTGGCACCCATTGAACATTTGTGGGATGTGTTGGGTAGGAGAGTTTGTGTAGAGAACCCAGGACCTGCTAATCTCCATAAACTTGGTGTTGCTCTTAGGATAAGAGGCAGTAGATTCCTAGATACGCCATATAATCTCCAGTATGCCTGTCAGGTGTCTTGCATGTATTGCTGCATACAGTGGTAACACTCGATATTGACTTACCGGTAAATCCTAGATGTGTTTCACACTTTTGGGAATATAAAGCCTGGTTCATAAACAAGTTCACAAGGGATCCCTTATATTTTGTTCTTCGTATATATACCTTTTTATGTGAGTAAGTGATTGACTGACTGAGTTTAGCTTTACTACGCTTTTAACAATATTCCAGCAACATCACTGCAGGGGGATACCAGAAATGGGCTTCACACATTGTACCCATGTGGAGAATCGAACCCGGGTCAAACACTTTAACCACAAGCCTACCCCACCGCCCTCTTTTTATGTAGTTAAGGTCCAATCTTATATTTTTGGAGAGACTTGGATTTTCATGTCTCTATTGTAAGATGAGAAACCTTTTTCCATCTCTAATGCACGCAGAAAAGTATTACTACTAGCCCTGATAAACACCCTAGCTGCATAGAAAACTGACAAGGAGGATGTTTAACAAAATTGTATGCAAGTTAAATGTAAAATAACACAATAGACACTAAGTTGTGTTTATAACAGTTAGCTGTTTACTTTAAATTGTGTATTTATTAAAATGAGGTTCTTAATCCAAAGAATATGGTATTTGAACAACTACCCCAAAACTGGGACATCCACGGTAAAACAGATTGGTTGGTCCATAAAATTTTTTTTTATTATATTTGTTTGTTTTTTTTCAAAAATACAAAATGTACTGCACAGTGTATAACTTCTTATAGAATTTAAGCTTTAACTTACATAGTATAAAAAGAGTATCTCCAGCAAATACTTCAAGGGAAAAAGGAGTTAGGCTTTTGGATTTGTTAATGGAAGCAAATGAGATACGGAACAGTAACACCAACAAACACAAGTGGACAAACATTCTTTAATACAGCATCAGTTGTCAAGCATGTACTTTTATCAATAACAACATATGCTTTATATCACATACAGATTTGAAAATAGTCCATATAATGAACATTTTAATCATATCCAAATCTGAATTTTTATGCCTCAATCCAAAATGAACATTAAAACTAAAGAAACTCACTTGTGTCCAGACAGCCTCGTAGATCAAGAGCATCAATAATGTCTTCCATTCTGTCCATCTTGTCTTCATGGTTCATGTAATCAGGGAGACGCATCATTGTTGTAAACTGAAACATTATAACAGTGGATTTTGTTATAAGCTGCTATCAACATTACTCCACTGTACCAGTGTACAGTCTTCAGTAACCCATACCTGTCGTATGAGGTGACTTACGGGACCAGGTGGTCAAACTCGCTGACTTGGTTGACACATGTTATTGTATCTCAATTGCGAAGGTCGATGCTCATGCTGTTGACCACTGGATTGTCTGGTCCAGACTCGATTACTGACATACCACGGCAATATGGCTGGAATATTGCAGAGTGTGGCGTTAAGCTACAAGCAAACATTACTCCATTAACATCCCAATAACCTGAAAATAATCAAATCTATGTCAGTCAGGTCTCATATCCAAATTCGTCTCCTCTAACTAGGATTGGGGTCCTTTTCAGCCTTTCAATCAGCTATCCCTAGTCTACAAAAATATTCTCCCTCAAGGTTGCGTCAGCAGTTAGCTTTCCTTTGTAACTTCCCTTTATATGCTGAGGTGGATTTAGATGACACAGACTTAGAAACTCTCAGATCATCACCCTTCAGGGGTTCATTAACACATATTCCCATACATTCTGTTTTGTATTACATGTATATTATATCACAAAGATTTTGTCTCTAAATTATATTGTTTTCTTATAATTTCCATATTTAACTCTTAATCTCATCGATCCATGCACTAAAGGAAAAAGGTGAAACCACATCTGTAGGTTTTTCACATTGTATATCCATGTTTTTCATTCTCGTGACCAAAAAGACATCTGTAAAATTGTTTAGAACCTCACATTTCATAACATGTAAGGAATGAAAACCAAGGACTGCAGTGTGATAACACTTCAAGAAGAAATGACTGTCAGAAGATAACAGGATAAATATATACATACAATTTGACATATTTTGCGAGTATCATGTTTAACATTATTGTTTGAGATGGCAGTTAATAATGTTTAAAATAAAACAATAATTCCAGTTGTTTGATAAGTATATTTGTTTTGTAATGCCAGTGCAGACTTATATTGAAAAGTCACTGTATGGCCTATGATAATCCCACTGAATATTGCATTTTCACACCTCTACATGTGCATCATGGTTTTACATCAGCAAAAGAGGGTTTGTTTGTTTTGTAGATAAAATGCTGATGTTTAGTCATAAGGCTATGTATCTTTTTGTGTTGGATTACAAGGCCAGACAAGAAAAACAATTAAAGGCCTAACTAGCAAAATAGTTTTAAACAAACATAGTCTTCACACCACATGTTGTTTTGTCATGTTTGCCCAGTAGTTTACAGACACAATACTGAGTTTGGTTTAACCATTTTGTGAAAAAACAGCTCAAAGTAAGGCAGGTCTTCGATATTTCCCATGTTGGTGAAACCCTAGACTTGCACAAGTTTCTAAGGTAATAATTAATAGTTAAAATGAGTGAGTGAGCAAGTTTAGTTTTATGCCGCACTCAGCAATATTCCAGCTATATGGCACCGGTCTGTAAATAATTGAGTCTGGACCAGACAATACAGTAATCAACAGCATGAGCATCGATCTACACATTTGGGATACAATATAAGTCAGCGAGCCTGACCTTCCATTAGTCGCCTCTTACGCCAAGCATGGGTTACTGAAGATCAATTCTAACACGGATCTAATAAAACAAATATATAAATAACAACCTGGCGTCCTTAGACTGTCTACTAATCTAGATTGCCTCCTTAAAGGACACTATACATCACTATACATCCATGGGCTAGCATTCAGTACAGCTTCAAGCAAGGCTAGTGAAACCCATCAGCCCAGGTACATTGCTGACAAACCTTGAAGCACAGTCAGGGCAAACCAGGAACCTGGCTTCCAAAGGGAGACAACTCTGCTCCAGGTATATTATCATATCCCCACATCTCAAACAATTTCTAATCAGGCATCCAGCCTGAGAGGACGACACACATTCTGACAATAACTGACATTCTTGAAGATGTAAACCAAATAAACGACATCTGTCATTAAGGATTCTGGGGACCTGCTAAAATATCTCCACCAAAGATGCATTAAAAAAAACATTTTCCATGTTCATGTTCAACCAGAGGTCACAAATCATAGCTCCATAAACTGCAAACTGGCCAAAACCATGCACATCACAAAGCTCATAACTATCTGGCAATTGTTGACATGAAAGCAATGGCGATATCGTCAAAAACTCTTACCCTGATAATTTTCTTTGTTTCTTCTTTGCATATTTATCTGCCTTTCTATATCATTTGAACTATAATCTAATTAGTCTAGTGAGAATACAAATGAAATCTTAATCCAGTATTCTTGTACATAAATTCATCTGGTAAAATAGTAAGTCAGTTCTTAAACTTGTCCCATTTCACTTGGATGGCATTCCCAAAGACATATATAACAAGAAAAAATTGTGTCCAGGGACACGGATGCCCCCACTGCTGTAGGAAGAGTTCCCTACACTGAGTGTGCTCTGGTGATTAATTTCTACAATTCTGTTGAGCAGTTTTTGTGGAGAAGTGGATAGACTTAATCCCCTATTTTACTATCATCAGAGAGAAATTCAACAAAATTTATTTAAGTTCAAATGTCTCTAAACATACCAAAAACTATAAAACACAAAAACAAAATATGAGATGCACACCTTTAGAGTTTCTATAAAAGACATATTTAAGCTAAATGAGTTTTGTGAAGTGGTTTTTGAGGAGAAGTGGATAAAGTACACCCCCTGTTGTATGGGACGAACAGGATGAATAGAACAAAATTCAACTAAGTTCAAACATCTGTAGAAGTGACAAAATTAAGAAATCGGATGAACAAGGTATGAGATGCACACCTTTAGAGTCCCAATGAAACACACGTAGAAGCTCAATCAATTCTGTTGAGCAGTTTTTGTGGAGAAGTGGATAGACTTCATCCCCTATAACACTAGTATATTCAGAGAGAAATTCAACAAAATTTAGGTAAGTTCAAACGGCACTAAATTTGGAAAAATAAATACAATACAAAATCAAAATATGAGATGAACGCCTTTAGAGTCCCTATAAAGCAAATGTGTAATCTAAATGAATTCCATAAAGTAGTTTTTGAGGAGAGGTGGATAACGTACACCCCTGTTGGATGGAACGAACAGGCTGAATAGAACAAAATTCAACTAAGTTCAAACATCTGTAAAAGTGACAAAATTAAGAAATTGCATAAAAAATTATGAAATGCACACCTTTAGAGTCCCTACGAAAGACATGTAGAAGTTCATTCAATTCTGTTGAGCACTTTTTGTGAAGAAGTGGATATAGACTTCGTCCCCTATTACACTATCATCATAGAGAAATTCAGCAAAATGTACCCAAGTTCAAATGTCTCTTAACTTACAGAAAAAACAGTAAAATACAAAAACAAAATATGAGATGCACACCATTAGAGTCCGAAGAAAACCCATGTAAAAGTTCATTGAATTCCACAGAGCGTTCTTTTGTTGAGAAGTGGATAGAGTACATTCCCTGTTTCGTACGGAGGGTAACCCTATATGCCCGCAGCCATATATGGTGGGGGCATAAAAACAAACTTGTAAGCAATTTGGGGTTGGATGGGAAATTTTCTCATTTCTGTTACGTGTGATTGTTACATCTGCTTGCACACTGATGACACTGCTACCAGGAGGTAATGATGATGTCAGATGATGGGGAAGAGTTTGAGGAAGTGGCAACAAAGGGACACAACTCTGTACAGCCTGCTGCAGTGTCTACCAGGCAGAAAGTCAAAATAGTACTGCTTCATTTTCTTCTGGCATATATCATACAGAACCAGTCAAGGAAATATGACATGTTTTGAACATTTGTTTGATAAACATCATTGCATATACTTTTCATTCGATAAGTCCAATAGACTTTTCAGAAACTATTACAAGTAGAACACAGGGCATGGGCACCATGTAGTCTGTCGTACAGACCTTCAAGTAAATATATCCAAGAAAGCCCACGCAAGTCTAGAAAATGTGGCAAGTCTAGATTTCCTCAGCTTTCTGAAAATGAAGAAAGTCTCAGGGCTCCTTTTCATTATACTTTTTTTTTTTACTATGAACTTTTTTTCAGTAAAATATGTTCATTTCAGAGACTAGTTGTTAGTCTAATGCACCATAAATAAATAAATGCCATTACATGTTGAAGGATATGTTGGTGTGAATATATTGAGTTTTGGGTCTTGTAATTGCATTTCATTATAGCTAATTAAACAACATACACTGATGATACAGTACTTGTTGTTGTTCTTTGTTTGTTCCAGCCTGCAAATAATCAAGTCTGGACCAGACAATCCAGTGATCAACGGCGTACAGAACTTGTAAGTTGCGTAACTTTATATGATATTATGTGGTAAAGAAATCAGCTCTTCTAAAATACTGTGTGATAACTGTTAGTATGTGACATCAGTGTTGTTTAAACCGTGTGTTACAGCACCCCATCCTCACCATCAAGGTTTCTCTGAGAGTCAGACCAGCAAAGAAGATGTCCTCCTGCAGAACATAGCACACCTTCCTCTTCAGCTGCTTATCCAGGGGACGCTTGTTGAGAGTTACATCCCCTGAGTGAAGGCCATTACGACCAGCAAGAGCATTCAATAGTGAGGTCTTTCCACTACCTAAAATAAATAGTTACCCATATAAGAAAACACTATATCTCAAAGAAATATATTTCTACAATTAAACTCCAGTAAATCTTTGACAAAAAGAAACATTGTTCACAAGACAGTGTGTCTATGTATGGAGTATTTATCTGAGGATTTATCTATGATGTCAAAGAAAGTGGCATGTACTGGAGAACCATCATTTCATTCAGCATTTGGAGTTTTCATAAAGTTCTTATTTTCCCAAGCATAGCAGCATTTATTACACAGAATTCAATATTTTTATGTTTAAAGTAAGGACTGAAGCCTAGTCCTCTGTATGGTCCTATTATCAGAGAAATACAAAGTTATAATCAGCATAACAATAACAGCATGAATTAGGAATTGTTTGTGAGTTTCTATTGTCTCAATACTGCAGCCTTGGAGCCTAACATTAGTCTAGATAAATCCCAGGTATCATACAAGAATGGAGGCAAATGCATGGTGTTCTCAAGAATAGGCAAGATAAATATAGAAGACAGACATTCAACATGCTCCACAGTGAGTCTGCTAGCAATTATACCAATAATTTGATGACTAGTGTGACAGTCAATGAGCCTTCACTAACAAGTCTAAAATCAGCACTCACATGTTAACATGGTATAACCATATATTCTTACTGGTATATAATCTACAGGTATAGAAACAAATGCATTCACTGAGTTTATCTTACCGCTGGGCCCCATCACAGCCAACAACTGTCCAGCCTGAGCAATGCCACTGATATCTTGGAGGATATGCTTGTCTCCAACTCGATAGTTGATATTTCTGAACACCAGCTCCAACACCTTAATCTTGTTCTCATCATCTGAATTGTCAAGGCCATTCTCCAACATGGGAGCCATGTCAGCCATCTTGGATTGCAGTACGAATGTTTCTGTTCACAAGTTAGGTGTGCAATGTAGATTGATCAGTGGGAGAATACTCGCATTCCTGGCAGATGAAACTGAAACAATGAGATGAGATATGTGTAATATAGAAGTCAGTTTCAAACCAACAGTCAGGTGAGGTGAAATTGGGTTTAAGGTCATGCTTGGGAATATTTCGCTCATATGACGACGTGCATGCGTGTGTATGTGTATGTGCGGCTGCTTGTATTAGCCCAGACTGAAGCTGGTTTTATAGTGCTAGCCCACTGAGATACCATGCCACAGTGAAGCATGAATACCCCACTCAGACACATTATACTGACTCCGAGCCGACCAGTCCTTGTTGTACCCATTACTGCCGAGTGCCAGCCAGGGACCAACAAGTACAATATTTTAACGTCTTTTGGTATGACGCGGTCGAGGATCGAACCCGCGACCTTCCGCTCTCCCGGGCGGATGCTCTGACCACTACACCACGGAGGCGGTCTCCAACAGTGAGTATGTGAGTGAACAGGGTTTACTGCAGCATTGACTATTGTTCCAGGTATATCAGGGGTGTCAGCTTCATCATGTTCACGTGCAAGGAAAGCCATAGTGATGCTTAGGTCACGGATGTTTACCATTTAAGTGAAACCACATTTTAAAGAGTGCATTCCACTTAATTTTTAAAACTGGGACATGTCCTTCTGCCCCGAAGTGACCAAGTGGTGTATTACTCAATATTAAGTAACATTCCAACTACATCAACATGTGTTGCAAATAATTAGACAACCAAGTGACTGATACCATGAGCAACACTTTGTGCTGTCAAGATATAAATATACACAATCATCTAGGTCAGACAATATAATGACCAGATCACATTTTGTCGGATTTTATGGATGGAGCACTGGGTACCTGAGCAGCCAATTACTTGATAAAGTCGAAAATAAATGGATTAAATGGTAAAACACCTGTTTACTTGGATTATTGCATCTCATCATTCTGCAATGGCTTCCATTTTTGCTCACGACCTACATCAGTGGATTGTCTGGTCCAGAGCTGAATATTTACAAACCACCATCATAAGTGAGTGAGTGAGTAAGTATGGTTTTACGCCGCTTTTAGCAATATTCCAGCAATAACACGGAGGGGGACACCAGAAATGGGCTTCACACATTGTACCCATGTGGGGAATCGAACCCGGGTCTTCGGCGTGACGAAAGCGAACACTTTAACCACTAGGCTACCCCACCGCCCCTCACCATCATAAGACTGGTATCATGGCTTTAACAACAGACAAGCATTAATAATAATAATAATAATAATAATAATCTACTTCTATAGCGCCGAGTTCCAGCTAGGCTGCTCACAGGCGCTTGTGCAGATAGTCTATTTCATTTCAAATAGATGTGTCTTTAAATGTTTTCGAAAAGTTGGTAGACTTGGGGCGGATTTTAGCGACATAGGGAGGTTGTTCCATAGCATGGGAGCTGCACATTCAAAGCAGCGGTCCCCGTATTTGGTCCTGGATGGTCTGGTGATAAGCAGATCTTTATCTTGTGATCTAAGAGTTCTTGTTGGTCTATGGTTGTTTAGAAGAGATGACAAGTAAGATGGAGCAGTGTTGGTCTTCAGGCACTTGTAGATAATGGTAAGCACCTTGAATTTTATGCGCCTGGCAACGGTAGCCAATGCAGTTCTCTTAACCTGGGGTGATGTGGTCTCTTCGAGGACAACGAAGTTATTATCCTGGCGGCTGTGTTTTGTATAACCTGGAGTCGATGAACCAGGGAGGCTGTTATCCCAAACAAAAGTGAATTGGCATAGTCAAGGCTAGATATGACTGTTGCTTGAGTGAGAGTTTTGGCGTTTCATCTGAAAGATATCGCCTTAGTTTACCAATCTGATGAAGATGATAGTGAGAAGACTGGCACATTTGGGTGACCTGCTTGTTCATGGTCATGTGGGGAGTCAAAACAACTCCTAGATTCTTCACTTGGGAAGAGGCAGGCACATTCACAGGTCCAATATTGACTGAGAATTCTGTCATACGCTCCTGTAAGTGCTTTGGCCCAGCAATGAATACTTCCGTTTTGTTGTCATTTAGTTTGAGAAAGTTAATTCTCATCCAAGTTCTGATGTCACTGATGCAGCTTTCCAGCTTCGTTATCTTGTCTTGAAGTGATACAATCCTGGAGGCGATATACAGCTCTGGGTGTCATCTGCAAAGCACTGAAAGTCAATGCAGTGGTTCCGGAAAACATCACCTAGTGGCAACATATAGATGGTAAACAAGAGTGGTCCAAGGACTGAACCCTGTGGAACGCCATATGATAACCACCTTTCTTCTGACACGGCCTCACCCACTTTCACTGACTGAGTTCTGTTTTTGAGATATGACGCAGCCACATCAATGCTGGTCCGTGATACCAACAGTCTTCTCAAGTCGAGACAGAAGGATACTGTGGTCTATTGTATCGAAGGCTGCTGACAGGTCTAGTAGAACAAGAAGTACTACTCTCTGATTGTCGAGATGAGAAAGGATGTCATTTTGCACACACGAAGGAGTGCTGTTTCTGTACTGTGGTGTTCTCTATAGGCAGACTGGAACTCTTCCATCAGGTTGTTTTTTTTCCAGATGTTCTTTGATTTGGATTGCTACAATCTTCTCAAGTACCTTTGATAGAAAACATTAGAACAGCACTGCATGCTGGTGGCAAGAAGCATGTAAAATGTGGATCTAGTGGTTACAGTTACAGCATGTTACACATGACCATGGTGGCTTGGCTGGATTATAGCTTACGCTATCAACTACTGCCAGAACTGGTTTGCCAGGACTGGTTTGCCTGACCCTGACTCCCATTCACAGGCACCTGTCACAGCTTGAATATTGCTGACATTAACATAAAACACCATTCCCTCTTTTGACTCACATTCCCTGTAATATGCCAACTCACTCCCCTATTCAACCCAACATGTCAAAGTGAGTATGGTTTTACGCTGCTGTTAGCAATATTACAGTAATATCACGGCTGGGGTACACCAGAAATGGGCTTCACACATTATGTAGCCTGCGACCTTGTTGTATCGCGGTACTTGATATATCCGTAATCGTAAATGAAATTAAAAACTTTTAAGGCCTATTCTATTATTAAATCCGATTAACATCACATTTAATCAACACATTTGTGAAAAGAGTATATTATTTTAACTTTGATAGTGTTTCAGCGAGAGCCATTCAACGAACGAAGCCGGTTAATATTTACCAAAGGATAGAACTCCATCGTATCACGGTAAACACTAAAACTAGGATTGCAAGGCGAAGTAGGGAACAAAAAATGAAATTGTTTAACTCAACTTAATGTGAAATCAGTTGAGGTATTTTTTTGTAATCGTAGGTGCACAAAACTGTATCCATTATGAAATTTTATTCAAGGAAATCACCAAACTTCCAAACTACATCATTTTCATCATGATTTTCTTAATATTTGTTAATACTGTTGTTTTTTGTTTTATTTCAGGCATGATTTCAACAATATTTCAATGCAAAATATTATTTGAAATAATGTTATAATATGAATAAATAATTATGTGAACAACAGTATAATAAAATCCTTTCCAAATTTCTAGTTTGTTAGAGTGTGCAAAATCGTTTTCAGTGAACAGGGATCATTTTTACGTTTTGTGTCCTTATTTGAATTACAAATTTTGGTATTCACCGGGAGATAAATAAAGCTCATGACGTCACTTCCGCTACCTTATATGGCAACAATGAGATGCAGATGACCTAGTTCAGATCGAGTGGGAAGGGTCATATAGACCCGTAAATATTATAGCGTGTATTTGATGAATGGGGTTCAGACAGATTCCATTAGATTCAAGAGTTTAATGTTAATATTTCTGCTGCATAATGCTTACGAAGATTCGATACATCCTGCTGGTTTCTAAAAAAGTAAACAAGTGACTGACGTCTGGCTGTCGATTTACATATGCAAATCGCTGCTAGGAGGCGTGTCTCGCACGGAAAACCTGAAATACAGTTTGCCGCGATACAATGAATGCAGCAATACGAGGTCCGAGTATACTCATGTGGGGAATCGAACCTGAGCCTTCGGTGTGACAAGCGAACACTTTAACCACTAGGCTACAGCACCCCCCACCCCCAACATGTCAAAGCTCTGAACATGTTCTTGTACAGTTGAAAATTAAGTCTTCTTTTCACATCAAGTAGTTGCCATGAGCCTAACATGTTGTAGGAGTCAATGAGGAAATGACAAAAGTTCTTCTGTATGCCCAAGTCTGAAATTTCATTAGCAGACTTGATACATTTTGGACCATGAAGGACCAACCTACATACACTTGTAATCATGGAAATCCTTGCAAACTTTTGAGGTTCTCTCTCTTTCGCACACATACTCACACAAGAGCCACCAAAAAGCCCTGATATTTTGCAAATAATATTTTCATGTGAATATTAGTCATACACGTCCATATCAGAACGCACTACAATACATTAACTTTACATACACAGCAGACCACAATGTACAAACTTTTAATTAAATATCGGGAGATAATCACATGTATATTGGTATGACAAACAGGTCATGACATCCATTGTCCTCTCGTCCAGTGCACAGACAACAGATTGCAAATTAATATCAAAGGATAATCATTGTGTACCAATGCCTGCTTTAATATGCCTATAACCTAATGTTTGGTACAGTTACTTGGGACTACCCTGTCAGGTTTCCCGGTTAGACGTTGTTCCAGAAGCAACAAAAATGGATTTTCTGGTCAGACTCACAGACTTGTGGATGAATGTCATCGTACCCCAACATCCTGGACCAACATCCTCACAATATCTACCACTAGTCTGGTGCAGACTCAATTACTTCCAGGACACAGCCATAGATACAATGTTACTGAGAGGGTCAGGGGTGGAAATAACCCATTGCCCGACGTCCCAGTCCAGTGAATATTTCTGTCGGGCAAGCAAATTTGTATATCACGCTGTACCAGTGTCCAGTTGATTTACCCATGTTAATTATGTTGTTTATTTTAAAAATGAACAAGAAAATCGGCCAGTATAGTGGAA